CGGTCAAAGAGAAAGGTCTTGAGACCGGCCTTGAAGGAGGAAAGGGAGGAGGCAAGGCGAAGGCACTGGGGGATAGAGTTCCAGAGCCTCGGGGCTGAGAGGCTGAAGGTCCGGCCACCGATGGTAGGGTGGTTGGGGCGGGGGATGTGGAGCAGACCGGAGCCAGAGGAACGGAGGGTACAGGCAGGTAAATAGGGGGATAGTAGGTCAGAGAGGTAGAAGGGAGCAAGGCCGTGAATGGCCTTGTAGGTGAGGATGAGGATCTTGAATTCGATCCTCTGGGGGATGGGGAGCCAGTGGAGGCGAGCGAGGGTGGGAGTGATGTGGTCCCGAAGCCTGGTGCGGGACAGCACACGAGCTGCAGAGTTCTGAATGACCTGCAGCTTGTGGAGGGAGGTGCCGGGAAGGCCGGCGAGGAGAGAGTTCCCATAGTCCAGCCTTGAGGTGATAAAGGCGTGGACCGGAGTTTCAGCAGCGTGAGGGGTGAGGTAGTGCCGTAGTCTGGCGATGTTCCGGAGGTGATGGAAGGCGGTGCCAGTTGTGGTGCGGATATGAGGGAGAATGGACAGCTCAGGGTCGAACAGAACACCGAGGTTCCTGACTGGCTTTGAGAGGTGGAGAGTGCAGCCTTGGATGCTGATGCTGTCAGCGCCTGAGGTGCGGAGGTGCTGATGTGAGCCAATCAGGAGGGCCTCAGTTTTACGCACGTTGAGCTGAAGAAAGTTGTCTCTCGTCCAGGACTCGATGTCGGACAGGCAGCTGTCAGGACATCGGTGGTCATGGAGTTGAGGGTAGAGGAGGAAATGTAGAGTTGGGTGTCATCCGCATACATGTGGAAGTAAACCCCATGTCTGCGGATGGTGTCACCAAGGGGGAGCATATAGAGGGTGAAGAGGAGAGGACCGAGGACAACTCTTTCAAGGACTTTGGACAGGAAGGGGAGGTTGGAGATGGGCCGGTAGCTTGATAGCTGCGACGCATCAAGGGAGGGTTTTTTCAAAGTGGGAGTGATGATGGCAGTTTTTAGGGGAATGTGAACAGAGCCAGAGGAGAGGAACAGGTTGATGATGTCTGTGATATGTGGGGCAAGGAGGTGGAGCTGGGAGATAAGGAGTGGAGTGGGGATGGGGTCAAGGGAACAGGTGGTGGGTTTCAGGGATAGGATGAGTTTGGTGACAGAGGGTGGGGAAACGGGTACAAAGGTGTGTAGGGGAGGATGGGTAGGAGTCGGAGTGTGGGAGGGAGGGGGTGGGGGCTGAGTGGAGGTTGGAGGGGGAGTGACCGCGGAGCGGATTCCCTTGATTTTGGATTCAAGGAAATCCAGCATCTCCTCACAGTGAAGGTTGGAGGAGATGACCTGCGCGGGGTGGCGGGGGGACGGAGGAGTTGGAATGTGGTAGAAAACAGTAGCCTGGGGTTGTTCTTCGCCTCCAGGATTATCCTGGAGTAGAAGGACGACTTGGCCGAGGCTAGAGTGGAGCGGTAGATTTTGAGGAGGTCCAGCCAGATTTGTCGGTGGACCGTTAGGCCAGATTTGACCAGGTGCGTTCAGCGGCCCCCACCTGGCTCTTAAGTGAGCGGAGGTGGGTGGTGAACCAGGGGGAGGAGCGAGAGTAGGAGACAGTACGGGAGGTGATGGGAGCAAGAGTGTCGAGTGTGGAGGGTTGGAGTGTGGAGTGTGGGTGTTGTGGAGGAGGGTGAGAGGAGAAGAGGGATCAGTGAGGGTTGAAGGCCAGAGGGAGAGGAGTTCAGAGGACTCCAAGGCAGCGGTTAGGGATTGTGGGGGTAACTTCTTCCAGGGGCGGTAGAAGATGGTGGTGGGGAGGGGGGTGGAGGTGGTGAAGGAGATGAAGTAGTGGTCAGAGATGGCCTTGTCGGTAATGGTGACATCCGAGACACTGAGGCCTCGGGTGATCACCAAGTCGAGTGTGTGGCCGTGACTGTGAGTGGGGGAGTTGATGTGGAGGGAGAGGTTGAGCGAGGAGAGCAGGGAATAGAAGTCTGAGGAGATGGAGCAGGAGGGGGTGAAGTGCAGGTTAAAGTCGCCCAGGATGATGAGGCGATCAGAGCAGAGGCAGAGAGATGTAAGTAGTGTCGAAATATCGGAGATGAAGGTGGGAGAGGTTTTAGGGGGCCGGTAGAGGAGGAGGATTTTGAGTGAGAGGAAGGAGGGGTGGGAGAGGGTGAGGTGCTCGAAAGAGAGGAAAGAGCCAGAGGAGTAGGGGGATAGGGCAAGTGGTGTCCTTGAGATAAGGGTTACACCACCGCCACGGCGATAGGGGCGAGGGATGTGGTGGGAGGTGTAGCCGGGTGGTGTGGCCTCTGTGAGGGGGAAAGTGTCACCTGGGGTGAGCCAGGTTTCCGTTAAGGCCATGATGTCAACGCTCTCATCAAGGATGAGATCGTTGATGACCAGGCCTTGTTGCAGAGGGAGTGGACGTTTTGTAGTCCAATGTGGAGGGAGCGGTTGACAGAAGGGTGTGTGGGGAGGGAGGGGGGTCCAGGTTGTGAGGCAGGGGTGGGGGGAATGGGGATGAGGGAGGAGAGGTTGGCTCAGGGGTGGCTGGCGAGTGCGGTTGGGAATGGGGCAGTCGGTGTGGCTGCTGCTGGACAGCCAACGCCGAGTGCCACGGTGAGCCCGGTGGAGGATTCCCAGGCTGGAACAGAGGGAGGTTGTGGGAGGGTCAAGTGGGGATAGAAGGCGAGAGGGATGGAGAGAGAGGAGGAGAGAGCGGGAGAGATGCAGAGGGGGGAGGGTTTGGGGGGAGAGAGGAGGAGGGGGGAGGGAGGGTGTGAGGGGGTGATTTTGAAATGATTGATGCTAACCCTCTTTTTGGTCAGCCAAGTGGCACTTTTCCATGTTTACTTCATGGGAATGCGGCTCTTTGATTATAAATGATTTGTGTGTAGATAAGACGTGGTGCAATATCTGCATACAAAGCTGACCTTTGTCTAAGCCAGAGATACTGAAATACAAGATTGTTTTACACTGTACTTGCTTTCCAAACTGCCTTTAACATTAGCCTGTAACATAACAACATTAACAGCCTTAAATTAATGTTCAACTTAGTCTGCAATACCTGGATTCACGGGGTAAATTAGTGCTGGTCCAAAGTCACCTGTTATTGAGGGTCATTTAATACTTTTTTTGAAATTACTAATGTAAACGTTGTAACACTTAATAAAGCCTACAATCAACAGCTAACTAAATATAAGCAATTTGATGGCTCAGAAGGGAAGATACTATCTAGTGCTGAACTGAGTCATGCAAACCAGAAATATCCCAGATTCAATACAATACCAATTTACATTTATATAGCACCTTTCACGTTGGGAGGATGTCCCTAGGCACTTAAATCTTTACATTATCCAATGCAGACTAAGCTCAGGAAATGAAAGGGATGCTATGACTAGTTTCAGTGTGCTCAGACTAGTCAGTGGAAATATTGCCGAAAATGTTTCACAAAACAAATTGATTTAATTTGTTATGTTTTGGTGCATTACTATGTAAAAAATCAAATCTGATCCTATTATAGGTTCTAGTTTACATCATGGTTGTCTGATAACCACATTTATACCATAAATATTACAACATATTGGTCAGCCATCAATAGCATTCAGTGATTTAACACATCTATTACAGTTTCCTCTGTACCTACTATTCATAGCTGAAGACATTTAGTTTAACAACTCTTTTGCATAACATCAATCTTAGTTACTTGACTTTTTTTTCGCCAACTTCTTTGCTGAAGGAGAACACGTGAACGAGATTGAAAGGATGTTAAGGACAAAATAGAGTATGGCTTAAAAGTGCCAGATCCACTGAAATACATTTTATCTACATAATTGAACCCTATAATTGAAAAGTACTTTGTGCAAGGTCAGGCTGATTTACTGTACAAGCAGTAAGTGCAACTAGACATATTAAGTGCTGTATGAGTGTAACATGCTTGTACCCTGGGGATGAGAGCCTGAAGATTCTGGTGAAGCACCAGTGAGTGACAGCTAACGTCTTCTCTGTCATTTTACAGTGTAATAATCACTGAAATTGAACTTCAATTTTATACTGCAAAAAAATCTTTTCATGGCAAATCATGAAATAACACGACAACCTATAATACCTCCTAGCTCTACCAAACTTTTGCTGCTAAATCGAAAAGCTTCAAACAAGGATACATGATAAATAAAATGGGTGTTTCCACACCGAATTATAGCGATAATAACCACAGGAGGGCACCATTCAGCCCATCAGAATCTAAGATGGTGCAAGCTCATGTACTGGAGCACACGCAGGAGAGGTTGGAGGAAACTCAGTGTTGGTCCTATCCTGCACAGGAGTGGTGCACATTGACATTCTCTCATGTTTTCCTTCATCCATCAACAGGAATCAATGTTCCTGTATTTGTGTCTGGACTGAGGTTAACAACTTGCCACATGGAGAAATGAAGTGTGGGGAATTTGAAATGCAGCCACTAGGCAAGATGTTCAAACACTTTCTGCAGTATCAATACTTATCTCTAAAGGCTTGCTGTGTCATAATACTCTCTATTTATGGTCTCTCTTCTCTCTGAGGTTTGATAATGACCTTAAATGAAATATCATTTGTCAGCTATAATACAGTACTAATGAATCTCAATCTATGGTCAGAAGATATGCCGGATTCAGAGTTTATTGATGGTAATTAACTGTGAGCTAGCACAGGCAGACTGCTGCTACTGACTGAGGGAACTCTTCATATGTTCTGGCTTTGAGATATATTTTCAAGATAATGTAGGAAAGCTTATTCTTGCTGTTCTTGACCTTGCACTATTTGATGTTACTGGTTACAGAAAGGAAAATGTTTAATTGTCAACCATTGTCCATTTCCCAGTACTAATAATGATGTTAACTTGATGTGAGCACAAGACATAACCTACCAAAAGCATATGTTGGTGCCATGACACTGCATGTTACACACATAAAAGCAGCACAATAACAAGAGGAGATTCAGATTCAATTACCACTCCATTGCCTTTTCATGGGGAGGTACTGAGCAAGTAAGACATCTCTCTTGGGATATAAGTCTTTATTACGAGTTACACCTAGATGAAAGCGTAAAAGCATATATTTCTCCCTCTGCAATGTGTCTGTATTCAGCTCTTTTATCAGCTGTAAAGTACACCCATTAAACATTCTGCATGCTTTTCTCAAAGACTTTGTGTATGTAACACAGTTACCAAAGAAATTAACCTTGTGAAGAACATTACACAGTATCAAAGCAATATTCAGGGTATGCAACGAAATAAGAAGCAAGGTTCTGCAGAAGCTATTGAGAGCTTAACTCCACATTTGCTTTGTCCCACTGTTTCACAATATCACTGAAGCTAAATCATTAACCTGCTTTCCCTTAATACACTGGTTGACCTGTTGCGTATTTCCAGCATTCCTTTTGATTTTAATCATGAAGATACTAACTGGAGAGACGTAAAATTAATGGAAAGCTAACATCCTGATGAAGGCCACAATATTGTGCTGCAACCTTGTGGTTACTTTGAGCAAGGGCACAAATTAATCAGTCAGGATCTAGGCAAACACAAATGCATGAGTATGAATTTGTTTCTCCAATGCTGGCAAAGAGATTTCATGGGATACTTTTTGTGCTCATCAAAGAGAAGGATGTTATTGGTCGTAAAATTGGTAATTTTGCTATTGTTGTCACCTAGACTCTGCAACAAAGACTTAACCCATTTAGGAACATCACTGTCAGTTACAGATTAAAAGTCTCTTTCTGCATCCAATAACTGTCTCTGACCCAGTGTCAGAGGCTGCCTCTACAGCACCAGCATGATATTTTCAATTTCTTATACCAGACATCTGACTACAGTGGTCTCTCTGAGTGAGATTGCTCATTAAGTACAAATTGTGTGCTGTGGGGCCATGCCAAGGAATGGGCAGAGACTGCACAAACCCATTAAACAGATACCCAATAAACAGGAGGCATTTATCCCAAATAGACTAGGTTGATTTCAGATTTGGGATCCAGAAGTAAAAGAACGAGTGCCAAACTCAGTCCAGCTCTGTTTAAATGCACTATTTTGTGGTGGTACAAGGTTTAATCCCCTCTATCTCCATGTTGCTCTGGAGGGGAATTAATACATTTGTAGCTACTGAGGAACAGCACTACTGAGACATGTGCACTGGGTCTGAGTTTACACCTCTCCAGTGCCTTCTTCTCAGAGTTTTAAGCCACATGGTCATGTATGTGATTCTGGATTTGGTAAGTTACTAATCACCTGTATATTGTGGAGAGGAAGTGTGTGTGTATGTATGTGTGGATGGGAGGTTATGGTGGAGAAATAAAAGCTAAACCCAGATCTCTTTCATAAGAAAATAAAGTTATTGGACTGAGACATCTATATGTATAGATTGCAAAAGTACCACAGTACAGATTGCTGCCAATTGCAGAGATAAGGCTGACTTGGCAATAGAGCTACATCACCAATTATCCAGTCTCTTGCAGGAAAAGTGAAGAATAATTTGTCACAGATTTACATTTCAGCTCTTCTTTTGGTGGGGGGATTTTAAAGCAAACTATATAAGTAATTACTATGGAGAAATAACCTGGATTTGCCACCACAGTTTCCGAATATGACTTACCACCTTCAGCAACATGCACCACACAATAGTGACTGAATAAGTAACAGTGAATTTCCTAAGTATTAGATGGTAGAAATCACTATGATACACATTCTAACAGATAAAGCACGATTTGTGGATGAGGTGCTAGCATTCCTAACAGTCATATAGGTGTCGTGTTTTCATAATTATCCGTGCTGACAATTCTCACATCGCCCATAATTGTGTTCAAACCTATTGATATTCATTAATGATTATATGTCAGTGTGATTGGTTTGACTGCAAATTTTGGCATTGAGATAATTATCACAACACATGTGTCATTTTCACACCATAATGATCATTAAAAAATTGCCCTAAACCTCCTAGATTTTACCATAAAGGCATAGAAAAGAACTCATACCTGTTTCAGCTGTAGGTTTAGCCACTGTGAAAAAAATAAATATGAAAATGTAAGTAATTATATACAACAGGACTACAATACAATGCCTTGTTCTGTGCGGTGCTAGGAATAAACATGTTACACATTCTAACAGAAAAAACACGATTTTTGGATGAGGTTCTAGCATTGTATATTGTAAAACTACTGGGAACGCTGATGATGAAATTTAACTTTAATTTTTTTTGTGACGTTTAACAAAAAGATGAATTGCAAACAATTAACATTTATCTTCTCATTGAACATAAATTATTTGCTGTTGCTCTAGCTGGTGCAGGCTTCGCTGAAATTACAGGGATGAAGTTCCTTCTGCTCTTTTTTCACGGAGTTATTTGGCACAAGAATGTTTCATTGATTAGAGTTCAGAAAATCTACATAATTGGTTGCTGAAGAGAGTTCCAGGCACAGTGATTTGAAGGTTGACGGTGGCTGAAAGTTACTTCTAATCACTTGAGTGTTTTTAGTGCATTGCAGACTGCAGTGAAACAAAGACAACAGAGCTCAGTAATATAATAAAATCTGAATGGGCAGATATGACTGAGGTTTAACATTTCATCCAAAGGATGGCTTCAGAATGTTGTGGTTGTACGCCTCACGTCAGGACTTGGAAATCGTATAATCTAAGATAATGCAATGTTGGGATGTGCTGCATTATTGGAGATGCCGCCTTCAGTTGAGATGTTAAACCTGTCTGCATGTTCTGGTGAACGTAAAAGATCCCATGGTACCATTCAAAAATGAAAGGGAGTTTCTCCTGGTTTCCCACCCAACAATACCTCAAATTAAATTGGTCATTCACTTCATGGCTGTTTGTGGCACATTGCTGTATGCAAATTGGCTGCAGTGTTAACCCACAAACACAGTCACTATACTTTACAGTATATCCTATAAAGCGCTTTGAGGTGTCCCCCAGATGTGAAAGGCAGTAAACCGAATGCAAGGATTTGTATTATTTGAACCTACAACCTTCTAACTCAGAACATGTCTGGAGTCCTGTAGCTCAGTGGTTAGAGCACTCGCTTTGCAAGCGAGAGACCTGGGTTCAATTCCCGGCAGGGCGAAACCTTGGGCAAGTTTCCTTACTCCACACGCCTAATAATAATCCCTCCAAAACCAATAATAAATTGGTCATTTTCAATCTACGACTGTTTGTGGGACATTGCTGTGCACAATTGGCTGCCGCGTTCGCCCACAAATATATACAGTCAATTCACTTTACAGTGTGTTCTGTGAAGCGCTTTGGGACATCCTCCCGACGTGAAAAGCGCTATATCAAATGCAAGGATTATTATTATTATTATTATTATGTGGCTCATAGTTAGTCCCTTAAGAGTGCAAGAGAATCAGGTTCATTTTCATAGAATCTTTGAATAATAAGCACAGATACTTCTCTCAATGCTGAATTTTTTTTAAACACAGACAAACCACATGCACTCAAATTTGCTTGGCCACATTTGACCCTGTTTGTGGTACCAAGATCAGGTCCCGAGACGCTGAGTCCTTCACCTGAATCTACACTCTCAGAAAGTAGCTCCTTTTTAGCAGCTGTTGCTTAGCAACTTTCAAGACCTCGACTTGACCTGAAATGAATTATTACACTGGTGAGATACATTTCAAACTATGGGTCAGAAGTGGTGATTTGCTTCTGTGTGAGGGCACATGCAAAGACCATTCATATCACGTTTATAGCTTTAGTTACGCAGACTGAATGTGAGACGGTTTGTCTATTTTTGTCAAAAAGGGAAAGCAATTCTTAATTAATAATTCTATAAATTTTCACAAAAGGGTTTGATACAGTGACAATGGGGTCTACCGGGCAGTCTAAATTAAGAATGTAATGTGAATTATCTGATTGTGTGAGAGTCAAACGATTACCCTCCTGTCTCTTCCAAACATCAGTCTCAATGCTAACATCCTGAAGCTGGGTCACATGTGCTTATTGTGGCTCACAGGTTGTTGTTTCAATTGGCATACGTGATAGCAGCTTACTCTGTGTTTTAGTAAAGTTGTGATCATGCTATGTAGAACTCGAAAGTCATGAGCAGGAGGAAGATCTTAGGTTAGACTATCGTGAAGTTGATATCCAAAGAGTCCATGACATTTTTGCTAACTTACATTATACTCATGTTACTTATATTAGATCAGACAAAACAGCTTGCAAAATAGCAAGATGAGATTGATAACAGTAACCTTGCGCTTCACCACACTACAATATAATTTCCATTTATATAGCATCTTTCAAATCAGGAGGACATCTCAAAGTGCTTCACAGTGCTGAATGGGCACGTAAGCTGGGGGTAGGAGCCAAGGTTGTGGGGAGGGGAAAGATGACTGAAAGCACATTCACAGGTACATTTTGAGACATGGCTTGAAAAAGGGAAGGGAGCAAATCGGAAGAACTCTGGGATGGAATTCTAGAAATCGGGTGCAGAATGCCTGAAAGTCACAGCCAATAATGGGGCAAGTGAGGCATGAAGCAGACGCAAAGGTAGCAGCCAGGTTGGTATGATTGAAGGAGGTTGCAGAGGTAGAATGGGCGAGACTGTGGAAAGATTTAAAGGTGAAAAGAATCTGCTACAACAAAACATCAAACACAAAAAATAAGCTTGAAATGACATTTGAGGTGGTCACAGGATCAACATCATGCATTTGCTTACAACAACCTACATTTAAATTGTATGCTTCAAGTTGGATAACATCTTTGAGTGCTTCACATGGACAGGATCGGATGCCAAGCGAGAGAGGAAAGAAGAAAATACCACAATACTACATATGATCACTAAAAGCACTACGGCACCATTGCACAGAAACTCTTCTATACGTAGATGACACATGTGGAACTCTGTCTGTTTTGGATAACTCAGGCATGGTGATGAATTTCGTCATATGTCAGACCCCTAGCTACCAAAAAAGGCACATCTGGTTACTGGGAAGTTATCAACATTTTGAAATTAATAAATCAAAAATGTAAATTGTGATACAAAAATAAGATCCAAAAATAATGGATAGGTAGAACAGTGATATGTGACAGGAACATCAACCTCAAGTTTGAATAGAGTACATTCATTGTTCAAGTTTTGATTATCTGATGGTTCAATGAAAAGTGTCTGCAATGTGACTTAGGAGTTTTGCAGTAAAATCTGTGTGTTTTTCAATGAACCAATGAGTCTTATTTGTACTTTTATACAGGTCAGTGCAAGGAACACATCAGGAGTTATTCTCCACTTCTTGGTTACTTTACCGACTTTGGCATTGTTGCATTTATTATTCTCTGCTTGTTGATAAACTGACTTGTGGATGGAGGGATTGTATATATTTGCTTATAATAATCCTTGCACTCGATATAGCGTTTTCATATCTTCTAGATGTCTCAAAGCGCTTTACAGAATATATCTTAAACTGAATTGACTGCATACTTGTGGGCGAAACGCGGCAGCCAATTGCGCACAGCAGTATCCCACAAACAGTCGTGGATTGAAGTGACCTATTTATTATTGTTTTTTCTTGAGGGATTATTATCAGGCGTGTGGAGTAAGGAAACTTGCCCAAGGTTTCACCCTGCCGGGAATCAAACCCAGATTCTCTTGCTTGCGATGCAAGTGCTCTAACTACTAAGCTACAGGACTCCACAATATAATGGAAAATAAATTTCTTCTTACAAACTTAAGAGGGCAAGACAATAATACTATCAATTATTATAATTACATTTGGTATAGTGCTTTGCACATTGGAAGGACGTCCCAAAGCGCTTCACAAAATATACAGTAAAATGCAGTTATTAGATGTTTTGTGGGCGAAAGTAGCAGCCATTTTTCATACAGTAATATACCACAAGCAGCCATGAAATGAATGATCAATTTTGAATTGGGAGATTTGTTGGCCAGGACACCAGGATAAACTTCCTTCTTTTTTCAAATATTGCTATGGGATTTCAACGTATGCCTGAGAGGCAAACTGATTTAAAGGATCATCCAAAAGATGGCATCACCAACAGTGCAGCACAACCCCAGTACTGCATTGGACTGACAGCTTGGACTGTATGAGTTCAAAGTTCAGATATAAAGCTTGAACCCACAACCTTCTGACTCAGCGGCAAAAGTACCACTAAATGATCCAGCCTGACACACAAAAATCATAAATTGGGGGTGAGGAAAATGTCAACATAAATGGTGTCTCTATGACAGAAAATGAGTCTTGAGAAGTGAGTCTCTTCCAGGGAATTCCATGTACACAATGTGATACTCTCGAGGCCCTGGGATCAGTTTGGAGCTGAGGCCTCGCGAGTTGGAATGACATACATGGGGTTTACCTGCAGGAGAAACATTACTTCCTGAGATGTTCTTCCTGCATTGAAGTCATTTAAGCTGTTATTTTCCCAATAAAGTCTCTTTGCACCCCTTAGTTTCATCCTTGATGACCTTTACAAGTAATCATATTGCCTTGAGTAGCAGAACAAAGTATAAAAAACCTGATCTTCATAGCTTAAATGCCCAAGCATAGAGGCCATTTTAAATACTTAACATATAAACAGAAAAATAAAAGTACCAAAACATTGCATTAGGAAACCTAAATACTGCAAAAATACAGGTACAAAAATTAAGATAGAAGAATATTTTTCAAAATGTGTTTCAATTGCTGTGTAAGCATGTTTTTATGGAGTAGGATTTAACACAGAGAAGTGATGGGATATCTACCTGGTAGTGGAGCTTTATGTGATTTTGCTGAAAAGAGAAAAGTAACGTTAGTCTCATAAGCATTAGGCTCCTCTAAATATTATCGATACTTAAGACATAAAGACTAGAAAGATTGTACTTTGCTCCTAATCTGTCCTCAGTTAGTTGATGTCTGCCAGGTGACAGTAGAAACTCTACAATTGGGCTAAGTTCTCTAGGTTAGTTAAAGGTTAAATCAGCCAGTATTTCCATTTAGCAACCCTTTCCACAAATGTGTAGGTATGGAGGTTGGGTAAGGACAGGATCAGGCTTGATTGAAGAGCCATAGATATTCTTTGACGTTCACTGTCAAGTCTCACATAGAAATAGTGGCCTCTTGAGAATGGGGGTGGGTGGTGGTACAAGAGTGAAGTGAGAAGCGTTCCCTCGAATTCAAGATCCTCACCCTCACCTAAAAGGCCATTCACGGCCTTGCTCCCCCCTACCTCTCCGACCTACTATCCCCCTACTTACCTGCCCGTACCCTCCATTCCTCTGGCTCCGGTCTGCTCCACATCCCCCGTCCCAACCACCCTACCATCAGTGGCCGGGCCTTCAGCCTCTCAGCCCCTAGGCTCTGGAACTCTATCCCCTAGTGCCTTCGCCTTGCCTCCTCCCTTTCCTCCTTCAAGGCCGGTCTCAAGACCTTTCTCTTTGACCGTGCCTTCAGCTCCCCTCTCGACTCTCTACCCCCTCCTCGCTCCCTCCCTTCCCTCCCCTCACCCTGACCATTTCCCCCCTGCTCGGGTCCTGACCCAACTGTACAGCGCCTTGGGACGTCCTCCCGACGTGAAAGGCGCTCAATAAATGGAATCTTGTTGTTGTTGTTGTTGTTCATATCTCAATGGAAAAATAAATGAATAAATCCAAATTCTTCGTAACTTTAAACACCTATCAACTTCTTCCTCGGTCTTCTATTTTGAAGACAGAAACGTCCTATGGTGGTGAAGCTTTCCTTGTCTCTTAAATTGTGGAATTAATCCAACAGCCCACTGTTGCCAATATGGGAAACCAAATCTGAAGGCTGTAACTCAAATATGGTCTTGTCTGGATTACCTTTAAAAAGACTTCTCTCAACTTGCATGTTTCCCCCTCCCTCCACTATGAATCCTAATATTTTATTTGCTTTCTTCATTACCAGGGAACTATGTCCCAATAGTTTTAGTGATACATATACATAAACCCCAAGGTCTCTCTCCTTTTCTGATATCTCAAACACATTTTTATTCAGCACACATTCTACTTTCACCTGTTCTGAGATTTCATACCATTTCTCAGTATTAAACTATATGCTGTGTACTAAATATTAATTTTAAAAAGCAATTGGAAGCCACAGTGAAAGCTTGCCTCACTTAGCAATTGGAAAAATATGTTAGGACGTTAGTGACTGCACAACACCAGTGTCTGCTTTGGGATAAATTCAAGGATTCAATGGCAACCCTGAAGGCAACCAAATCACTATAAATTTTTCGTCTTTATTGTGAATAAAACTGACGGTTGCTGGTTTCATTTTCTCACAGTCGAAGATTTTCATAAAGCAAAACTTAGGGAAAATTGGAAAAAGAATGGCTGTTAATCAGTCTGAAACAGGACAAGCATACTGACACCATTAATGATGCACATGATTGCTCTCCATTCTTAGCACTTAGGTCTGAAATTTATACTTTTTTAATATAATGCAGAAAGAAATGGCATTAAGCCCTGCAGCTGCCATTGACAGGGAGCATCACTTTTCCTGCATATTCTCAGCATTCCTGAGAATATTACTCACAATATGAACAAAGCTGTCCTTGGGCTCAGCTATAATGCGTACTTAGATGTTTTCTTTTGGCATATTCCACAACCACAAAAGGAGAAAGGTCAGGTTAAGACAGATGAGCACTCTGTCTGCAGGCAATATTCATTTCCCCAAATTAATCATTTTGATAGGCCATGCGCCTATTTCCTGATCGATGTTCCTGATGATACAATAAATTCTGTAATTTCCTATCTGATCATTTACTGTGTAGCAAAGTGCCTTCAAATAATGAAATGTTTGTGTAAGATATGTTCAACTGAAGGACTTGATTTGTATAACCCAGAGATTCAGGCAATGCCTAACATTTCACAATATTGTACCAAACGTGCACGATTCTCATCTGCTACCAACCAGTTCTGCCGCCCTCAATGTCTGCAAGAATTTCCAGTAAGATAGACCTATTCCTTTTAATACAGTGACAGACTGCATATGAGTTAGACAAGATAAACAATAGCAAGTGGTGAGCCGTCAGAAACAATTCTGTTTATAAAGTATCCACTTCCCCTCGGCTGCATGTCTGCATGAGTAATCAACTCTGAACTGACACAGGAGGAAGCTGTTGTTGACCTGTGCAGTTATTAGCTCAGTGTGTCAACATTTATCCCACAGTGGCAAAATGGGAGTGATTGTATTCAGCACTCTGTGGATGGAGCTACTACTGCCCCCGTGAATCTTATTTTCACCTCTGGTACTGCACCAGCCACATTTAATGGAGTTTCAAATCACTTTTAATAATATGATAATCTTTGCATTTGATATAGGATATTATATCATCAACATGTCGCAAAGCACTTACTGTAGAGTGTAATGACTGTGTATTCTGTAACTGAACCCGGTAGCCAGTTTTCACAAATTGAAGTCCCGCAAACAGCAAATGCTAATCTATTATTAAACTAATGAGTGACACATAAAACTTGAAAATTGTAGATCAGTTAGTTTACCAGCTGTAGAATACTACATTGTATACCATCAATGGGTATCTAAATATCATGGACATTTACAGAAAGTCAATATGGAATTAGAAATAGCATTGTCACAAATCTATTGAACTTCTGTAAGAAAGTAACTAAATTATTCAGGGCATCTAACTTACTCACGTTTTTCAGAAGGCATTTGATAAATTTCCACAGGTGAGATCTTTAAAGAATATAATTAATGAATTTGATTTAAAACCAACTTAATAGTGGACAGCAGGAGATTGAGATGAATGGAAAATGTTCAGCCTAAAGCAGGGATTAGCATCGTTCCCGCTGAGTACAATATTGTCAAATGACTTTTCTCCCTCAGGGAGTAGATTATATATGCAACACATACTCCCAATATAAGCATTTGAAGAAATCCAATGTGTTCCGTAGAGTGTCAACTACCGTAATTCAATAAGAAAAGCTATATAAAAAATAAATGCAAGAAGAAAATTCATGCACAAATTCATGTGCCTGATAGTAGCTGTAAGAAAATCAATGTTACACTTTATGGAAAGAAAAAAAGAAAATTATCACAGATACCAAGAATACAATCTTCGCAGAACTCTGACTTCGAGGCAAAAGATATTGCATATTTTGGTAAACTCAGTGCAATAGAGTACTATTGATATGCTAGTTTATATTAGGCAGATGGCACCTTGGTTTAATTTCTCACCCAAAGGACATCACTTCTGAAAATGCAGTGTTCCCCCTGGCACAGTATGGTAGTGTCAGTCTGCATTATGAGTTCAAAGTCTCAGCAATGGACTTAAACCCACAACCTTCTGACGCATAAGCAAGGGTGTTACCAACTTAGCTGGCTGATGGGATCCACATTTATTTGAAGTGACACGTTACCAGTCAGGCAATAGTGAGCAGCTAGTGCCTTGCACTAACAGTGATTATGTAGTTTTGAGGAAAAAAACAAGGCAAGAACAACTGCTGGTGGAGAGAAAACAACTCTTGCAATTATATCCTAAACTGAACAGAGTTGATAGGAATTATTCTCCACTTGTTTTTTGACCCTTTTAGCCTTGAGAATATGGTCATACAATTGCATTTGCCCTTTGTAAACACAAACAACCCAACCTGATAATTTACAAGAATAATAACATAACATGTAGGAGCAGGAGTAGGCCATTCGTCCCTTCGAGTCTGCCCCACCGTTCAATTATGGCCGATCTTCTAATCTAACTCCAGCTAATACCATAACCCTGCCTTATCCCCATATCCCTTAATCCTATTTGCAATAAGAAATACATCTATCTCAGTCTTAAATATGCTCAAGGACTGAGCGTCAATAGCCCTTTGGGGTAGTGAGTTCCATACATTCACCACCCTTTGAGTGAAGAAGTTCTTCCTCAACTCAGTGCGAAAGGGCTGGCCTCTGATTTTAAGGTTGTGACCCCTGGTTTTAGTTTTTCCAAACTCTATCATGCCCTTTGATGATCTTATAGGTTTCTATAAGATCCCCTCTAATTCTTCTATATTCCAGAGAATATAGGCCCAAATTGGTCAGCCTATCTCGTAATTCATCCCCTTCATCCCTGGCACTAACCTAATAAATCTACGCTGCACCCCCTCCAAGGCAAGTACATCCTTCCTTAAATAAGGAGACCAAAACTGCACACAGTATTCCAGGTGTGGTCTCACCAGGGCCCTATACAGTTGCCGCAAGACTTCCCTACTCTTATACTCTAATCCTTTCATAATGAATGCTAACATACCGTTCGCCTTCCTAATTGTTGCTGCATCTGCAGACTAACTTTCTGTGATTGGTGTACAAGGACACCCAAGTCCCTCTGAACGCTAACACATTCCAATCTCTCCCCTTCTAAAAAATAGCCCGCTCTACTGTTTTTGCTACCCAGGTGGATGACTTCACACTTCCCTACATTATACTTCATCTGCCACCCACTGCCCAATCACCTAACCTATCTATGTCACGCTGCATTTTTTTAATGTCATCCTTTGTGTTGACACTTCCTCCTAGTTTTGTGTCATCCGCGAATTTAGATATATTAACTTCGATGTCCTCATCTAGATTGTTGATGTAGATGGTAAATAACTGAGGCCCAAGGACTGATCCTTGTGGCACTCCACTAGTCACATCCCGCCAATCTGAAAAGGACCCGTTTATCCCTACTCTTTATTTCCTATCCGTTAACCATTCCCCAATCCACGTTAATATGCTCCCCCCAATTCCATGGGCCCCTATCTTTTGGACTAACCTTTTATGCGGCACCTTATCGAATGCCTTCTGGAAGTCCAAATAGACCACATCCACTGATTCACCCTTATCTAGTTTATGCGATATATCCTCAAAAAATTCTATGAGATTTGTCAAACATGACTTCCTTTTTGTAAAGCCATGTTGACTTGGCCTAATTATATTGTTCTCCTCTAAATACCGCACTACCACATCCTTAATCAATGATTCTAAAATTTTTCCCATCACTGATGTGAGACTAACTCGCCTATAGTTCCCCATCTTTTCCTTTCCACCTTTTTTAAATAGTGGTGTGACATTTGCGATCTTCCAATCCATGTGGACTGTTCCAGAATCCAAGGAATTTTGGAAGATCAGACACAAGGCCTCCACTATCTCATAAGCTAATAATCCCTAAAAATCCATTTTAATATGAAAATTAACACGTAAATAATTTTAACATGTAAATAAAATCATACAGACAGACTGAGCAGGCAAGAATATTCGATAACAGTAACAGAAGCACCAGCAGGTGGCAGAGCCTTTGTGTGTTGGTCACAAGGCAAGTCTGCAGGAAATGTTAGAGTGCCTAACATTAAAGACATGGCAAATGGAGGATTTACAAAAGTATCAGAGAGCTGAATTTGGTAATCCACTCATTATTGATTATTGTAGCATGACTCTACATGGATTAGAGAGAGGTACAGAATAACACAGGTAAAACTGAGAAAGGGAACGAGGGAGTCTTAACTTATGGTATATTAGCGGGAGAGAGACATTACTGTAGGTGGATTGACTACAGGTGGATGACAATACTTTTTTTTGTGCCTTTCATGTTAGGAGGATTTCCCAAGACCCTTAACAATAATGGCTTAGCATAAGAACTGGGAGTGGGAGCTTGGGGGGTGGGAACCAGAAAGATAACCAAAACATAGTCTTGAAATGGATTTTGAATGAGGTGAAGGAGGGAGTGAGTCGGAGGGACTCTGGGATGAAGTTCCAGAGAGTGGAGCAGATAGGCTGAAAGCCTGTGCTAAGAGGAAGGGAAACTTGGCTGCAGGTGTATTAGAAGCAACTAAGTGCCAGCTAAATTTTAAGATTTTTTTTAAAAATGATCTTTTTTGTCTAAGGGAATTATTTAAAAAATGAGAATAACAACAACTTGAATTTGTTTAGCGTTCTTGAAACAAATAGCATCTTGGAGCGTTTAACAATGGTGTAGTTTGACGCCGAGCTAGAAAAGTGAGGGGAGGTGATCGAAGGCACTGTCGAAGAGGAAAATCTTCAGGTGTAATTTGAAGGTAAGCAAAGAGGACAAGAGAGATTGAGGCACAGAGATTCAGGCACAGTGGCTAAAAGCACTAATTCTAGTATAGTGGAGTCCTGCAGCTCAGTGGTTAGAGCACTCGCCTCGCAAGCGAGAGACCTGGGTTCGATTACTGGCAGGGTGAAACCTTGGGCAAGTTTCCTTACTCCACACACCTGATAATAATCCCCTAAGAAAAAAAACAAACAGTAATAAGTTGGTCACTTCAACCCACAACTGTTTGTTGAACACTGCTGTGTGTAATTGGCTGCCGAGTTTCACCCACAAATATAGTCAATTCATTTTAAAATATATTGTGTAAAGCGCTTTGAGATGTCTAGAAGACTTGAAAAACGCTATATCAAATGCAAGGATTATTATATTATTATAATGAAAATATTTTGACACCAGGAACTATAATCATAGAAGCAGTTTCATAAAGAATCACATTAAAAAACTCCCAAGAAGCAAAGTTGTTTTTAAACAAAACTGTGAAAGAGCAAAAAATAAAACAAAGATCACTCTTGCATATCATCAAAAAGAATGAAATCTGCATCTCATATAAAGCTAATGCTCTCACCAAACCACATGTCAATGCAAAATGGAAAGCACACAAGTCACTTACTTGCTGCTTCGGGCTTCGTTGCTGTAAAATAAAATGTAAAATAGACACTGGTTAAGAAACTGAGATGTCAAAAGCGAAACATTTTAAAATAACTCACTAACATTGGAGCATGTAGCTTTACCTGGGAAGGTACTGAACCAGATATAGTTCTCACAATACTCAGTGCAAATTCAGCATTGGTAATTTCAGTGAAACATAATCAAGGGCAGATTTAATAGAATTAAATATGAAGATCTATGTAGGTCAATAGAAATTTACAGCACTGAAGAAGAACATCTATTGTGTGTGCTGATTCTTTTAATGAGCAATCCTTTCATTAAGCCATTTGCCTGCCTTTTCTCCATCCTTTGGGGTTTGTTTATTTTCTTTTTGTGGGCCGTGTGTTTTATCCTTAGGTGCTAAGGGGGATGTCAAAAGTGTGGCTCATTGGTATTAAAAGATCTGCCAAGATCTAAAACTGCTAGAATAGGCTTGATGGGATTCTTCCTGTTTCTGTTTTTTTATGTTCTTCTCCTAAAAAGCATTGGCAATTAACCACAAAAAAAGCTTTGTCAATGCTACATAATGAAAATTGTTTACTCTTTACTCCCAGTGACAGTACCAAACTATCTCTTCAGCCAGGTCCTTTGAATAGAAATGTTGTCTTTCTCACAATGATGGCTTACAAACTTTATCTGAATGTTCTTTATCAGAGAGAGAAGACGTTCATCCTGTCAGTCTGGGGTACACACAGTAAATTGTAACCAGCACATTTACAGTGTCTTTCACACAGGGAAAATGTCTCAAAGAGCTTCACAGGGAGAGAATGGGAGATGGAGATGTCATAGGAAAGTGGACAAAAACACAGTTAAATAGATTTTTGAAACCAAAGAGTAAGGTGTTTGGCAGAAGGATTTAGGGAGAGAATTCAGAGGGAGGGCCAGAGTTGCTGGGCAAAGCAGGGGCAAGTGTCACAATCTCAGCCTTTCAGCCTTGCACACTTTTATGTGGAGCAAAACATGAAATTAGGAGAGTGAAAAGATTGGGCGAGGAAATGGCACTGCAAGAGATAATAATAATAATCATTACATTTGATATAATGCTTTACAGTCAAAAGGACGTGCTTCACAGGATATATTGTTAAGTGGTGCTTTGTGGGTGAATGTTGCAACCAATTTTCACATGGCAATGTCTCACAAAGTCATGAAGTGAATGACCATTTTTATTTGGTTGATTGTTGGCCAGGTCACCGGGAGAAACTGTCTTCTATTTTTGAATAATGCCATGGGATCTTTAACATCCAGCTGAATAGCAGATTGGGGCCTTGGTTTCATGTTTCATCTGAAGGACAGCACCTCCAACAATGCAGCAAGCCACAGCACTGCATTGGAATGTCAGTTTAGACGTTATGAGTTCCATGTCCCGATGTGGGACTTGAAACCATAACCTTCTGACTCATAGGGGAGACTGCTATCAACCAAGCCAAGCTGACATGCATGTAGGGTGGAACAAGGGCATAAAGACATTTGAAAGTTAGTGCAAGGATCTGAAGTTAATCCACTGGGGACTAGGGAATCAGATAAACTTAGTAAGAATGGAACTGATGGGCTCAAAGAAACTAGCACGGGAAAATAGTCAGGTTCAGTTCCCAGAGGTGAGTGAATAGCATGAATCACGCTGTGCACTTTACTGCCCCCACCCTCCACAAACACTATTGTTCTCTTTCTCCTGGTTCTTTAAAATTATTTGCCGACTTCCTAGCTTTGCAGCATTCAAATCATATTTCTACTGGGTTGAAACTGGATGGCAAGTTCCTTATCACTGAGAGACAAACTTAATCCTCACACTACTCAGTTCCTGCTACACATTTACCTGGGTGAGACGTAATCTGATAAATGAATAATATGGTGACTATTATCCAACACTACCATCTATAAAACATTTAATTAAGCACTCTGAAGGCTCTATGTAACTGCAAACTATGCTTTAATATCATTATGAAAACATGCTGCTGAAGGAGTAGTGGTTTATAACCAGGAGGATATGGCTCAAAGCATAGCTGAATCTATCCAAATCTCTTTTAAAGTACCTTTCACCATTATTTATTCTTTATATAGAAGTAATACTGTATATAACAGATTGCGAATTTTCTGTAATAAAAATAACCTGATAATATTGGTCATATAATATGATCCAATCTACCTTTGTCGAGTGATATTACTTTCATTTTGAAATATCAACCGGAAACTTTTACATCATACAAATGGACTAAGAGATTGCACTATAGGGGAAGAAAATCCATTTAAAGATACTGCACTCTCTTATGTAGATTGTAAATGATAACAAATACCTTGACGCCAGTTCAATCTCAAGTTTACAATATCATCTGAGCTCCTTGATGGATTCCTGCTGTGCAATTCATTTAAAGTCCACCAGTGTCTTTTATATTAGAGAGAGTTTGAATTTACAGTAACCTTGCACAGTGAAGTTTAGTTTTCATTGTGTTAGATTCTCAAAAGTTTACTGCACAATTGAATTTGTTTTATAACATTACCAATCACAACTCAACATCAACCTTAACATTTTGAGGACATTGCTGGTCTGAAAACACCAAGGCAAACAATCATGTTTCCCCTCCTGGATTTGATTTCATACTGTTGACACTAATCATGCCATTACAACTTTAAAGAAATACTATTGTCCAAATGATAGCTGGGCATTCTTTAATAATAATAATTCTTGCATTTGATATATTGATAACAAACAATATCCTCTCTATCTGTGACCGAGGCTCCCTCTGCCTCCTCGTCCTCCTGGAGCTTTCTGCTGCGTTCCACACAGTCGATCACCCCATCCTTCTCCACTGCCTGTCCTCCATCATCCACCTCAGTGGAACCATATTCGCTTGGTTCAAGTCCTGCCTTACAAACCGCCAGTACTACATTTCTGCAAATGGCTTTTCTTCGCGCTTCCACCTGGTCACCGGCAGTGTATCCCAAGGATCCATCCTTGGCCCCCTTCTCTTCCTCATCTATATGCTCCCTCTCAGTGATGTCATCCGCAGACACGGGGTTAACTTTCACATGTATGCAGATGACACTCAACTGTACTTTTCCACCTCCAGCTGCAACCCCCAGTACCCGATGTTCTGTCAGCTTGTCTGTCGAACACCAGGAGTTGGATGAGTGCAAATTTCCTGCAGTTGGACGTCAACAAGACAGAAGCCATACTCTTTGGCTCCCGCTGACGTCTTCTGTCCCATGGTTCCGACCTCCTCAACCTACCCGACCTGTCCTTAAAACTCTCCGAACCTGTGCACAACTTAGGCGTCAGGTTCGATCCCCAGTTATCCTTCCTTCTCCACATCCGATCCTTGACCAGTACCGCTTTCTTCTACCTCTGCCACATTGCCCTTCTCCGACAATACCTTACCCCAAAAGCTGCTGAAACCCTTGTCCATGCATTTGTCACCTCTTGGCTGGACTAAGTGTTGTGACTGTCTTTGTAGGCAAATACATCAGCATATTTTGCACACAGCAACATCCCTCAAACAAATGGGAAGTAGATAAGTCAATTTAACTGGAGGATTGTTGACTAGGACACCAGTAGAAATTCTCTTCTCTTTTCAAATATTGTCATGGGTTCTTTAGTCTCCATCTGAACAGGCAGATGAGACTTTAGTTCAGTCTCATCCAAAGGAATGGCACCTTTGACAATATAACCTATTTCGCCACTGCACTGGAGAATAAGCCTAGACCAACCTTTTGGCTGCTGATGGCCAGATGCCCTACATGAGAAAAGTTCTCGGGCCGAAGCAGCAATATATTTGTGTTTCCCTTCCAAAAACATAACATAACATTTACACTGTGCCTTTTTCACGTCGGAAGAACATCTCAAATGCTTGATAATGCCGTCTGGGCACCTGAGTTGGGAGTGGGAGCTGAGTGAGGTGGGGTGGTGAAGGGATAAGATAAACAAGAGTGCGGTCAAAGAGTTAGGTCATGACCTGCTTTGAAAGAGGGGAGGGTGGTAAGGAGGGAGACAAAAGGACTCCGGGAATGACAAAATGGCGACAATTGGACAGATGGTGTGAAGAGACATGAAGCAAGCTGGTGTTTGTTGGGCAAAGGGAATTTTGAAAGGATAGAGTAACAAGTGGCCACCTTCTCTCTCTGTACTCTATTTTGCCATTATTTGTATCATCATATTTTCCAGCAAGGAAATTTTACCATCTCCTACAGGATAATTTGTCTAGCAGGACTGTATTGCAAATGTGATTATAGGACAGAAAAGTAATTCATCCATTATTTTGCTGTTAATACATTTTTGAATTAGTTGACAAGTTGGACAATTTGTCTCAGTCAAATGTCAGGTGATCTCAGAGTTTGTTTATAGCAGATCAATGTATTGCATCGTATACATGCAAGAAAACTAAACAAACGATAATCCACAGTGACTTCAACAATGTGACTATTTGAGGGAGGAAATATATGCTACTTTATTATTAAGAGCGTTAATAACAGAAATATTGACTCAAAATAATACTGATCTCAAAGCAGGTAATTTGAATCCAATAGGGATAAAGATCAGAAGCGCTATAGTCAAAGAAATCTCCTCATCGAATTTATTTTTTTATTGACCACAGGGAAATTACATTCACAACTTATTTAAAACTTTGAAAACAGAACATCAAGCCAAGGACAGATCACTTACTTGTTATGGCTTTGGGCTTTGGTGCTGTAACAAAGGAAATAGCTGGGTAAATAACCGATCTTATTTCACTCCAGACTGCAAGAAACATTTAGGTGCTAAAGAAACTCAACAATAAGCATTGAGTTTTAACCATCAGCATGTTAAAACTCCAGGATCAATTACTCTCAGATAGAGCACAGGTGAAATAGAGAGCTTCATTGAGTAATATGGCACAAAAACAGGCCATTTGGCTCAACTAATCTGCACCAGTGTTTCTATTCCACTCAGGCCCCCATTCCTCCTATTACCCTCACCTATACTCTCCATTTCCTTCTCAATCATGTATGTTAGAGACTTATTTCTCAACCCTGCTCATTCATATGCTTCAACCAATACATCTGAATATTGGCCCTACTAGTCCAATGTAGAAACATTGACATGTCCCACAGACATTCAATTTGGTGTCAATGTCTCAGGCACTAGAAACTTGAGTTGTGTTTGTCCCAATGAACACTATTGCATTTTGGATCCAGCCAGCCAGATAGCTATTCTTTCCCATTAGTCTGGAAATGAAAGGTCAGTATATCAGCTCTGTGTCACCAAGCTGTTTGATTCAAACTTAATGATCCTCAACATCAACGATTCTCTGAATCACACTCCAAACAAGAAAATAACAAATCAGACAGGAAGAAAATGGTATTCATGCCATTCAGCTCATTTTAGGATTTGATGAGATGGTAAACAGTAATCCCATCTATTTAAAGATCCTGTAACACAATTCAAAAGGAGAAGGGAGTTTCATCCAGTGACTCAGGGAAACAATCCTCCATAATAATTGGTCAATCAACTCTATTTCCAAATCATTTCTACTGCCTTCTTACTTTCTTATGACCACAGTTGGATTGAAAAGATTCTCTTTGGGAAAATAACAGCTTCTGTAATAATGGCATTTTGCTTTAAATTAAGCTGAAATTATTCTCAGGGGAGCCAGTCATTATCAGTAGGCAGCAATAAATGAAGACATCAACCAGTTACAATTTTCATTTCTGTGTTAATTAATATTGTTTTTCTTTAACCCATCATGTGGTAGAAACTCCACTTGGGTCTAGTTTTACTCGACTCACATAGTATTTTAGAGCATCCAGGATTTGGCAAACTCTTAAATATCCAGTGGCTTCTCCTCCCACCCCCACAAAGTCACATGCAACATTTCTCAGGATCCTAGACTTGGTTGTCTTTGTTTCATCATCTGTATGCTCTCAATTGGTGACATTATCCACGGTGCACTTCAACATGTTCACGGAAGAAACTCAACTCTATCTCTTTGGTACTACTCTTGATTGTAGGACTATTGTCATCCTATCAGTAATCAAGTCCTAGATAAGCACTCAGTTGAATGTCAATAAGACTGAGAATCTTTGCTTGGTTCCCGTCAATGCTTTCTCACCTCAGACACTAATTGCAATGCCCTGCATGGATAACAATCCGTGCATTTGCCTTATCATATTCACATTGAGACGTCTCAAAGCGCTTCACAAAATATATTGTAAAGTGAATTGACTACATTTTGTGGGCAAAACGCAGCACTTTTTGGAGAAATTATTATTCCCGGAAAGCGATCCATTAATCTACTAACAACCTGGTTCCTAATTACTGCTAGGTAAGCAGAGGTGTAAAGAAACTTGCCTAAGGTTTTTCCACGTATGAGAATCAAACCCAGGTCCTCTTGTGTGTGAGGCAAGTGCTCTAACCACTAGCTACGGGGATACACATGGAGCCGGTATGGAACCTTTCTGTCTTATTCATTTCCAGCTGTCCTTCAAGTCCTACATCCGGATTCTCACTCAGTTGGACTTCCCTCACTTTCTCACCATCAACCGCCTCTGCCATTACTTCTCCCCCAGGCTGCTCAGACCATCGTCCATTCATCATATTCAGGCTCGACTATTCCAATGTCCTGATTACCCAACTCCCCAGCTCCTCCATCCAGAAACACAGACCATCCAGAACCCTGCAGCCCATGTGCTCTTGTGCAACAGGTTCCATTAGACTATCATCTCTATCTCTCTCGGCTCCACTTGGTACTCCAGCACCAGCAGTCTACCTTGCCCCCTCCTTTTCCACCTTTAAGACCCGCCATCAGACCTAGCTTTTTGACCACTTTCAGTCACCTTCATCCTCAGTCAACATCATCTAAAGTTAATTGCTGAATTCAACATATTGCCAAATACTAGATACAGAAATGCTACATAAATAGAGTAACTCTAGACCAGGTAGGATTTCTCCCACTACACATTTTCATCCCAACATTTCTTATCTTGGAAGCAGCATTAAAATGCCTGTGTATTCTTTCGTTCCTATCACCTGACTTTCCTCTGTCGCCATGGTACCTCACTTTCTCTTTATGCTTTGCTGAGACTTTTTTTACTTTGCCCCGTCGACCACTATAATAGCTACAAAACTAGTCTGCCCATCTGCAATATTGATCGTTAACAAGTCAACTGAGCACAAGAGTGGGAAAAGTGAGCATTTGCAATGTACAATGTAAGCGGTTCTCAGATCATCAGTTAATTTAACCAGCAATTAGAGAATCAGCCTTTTAACCTCTGATGCAATTAAAATAAGACCAAATCTTGCTATTTTTATACTTTGATGCAGAATTACTGCGTACACACAAATTGCATATTTATTTGAATAACAAAGGTAAATACCCTTTTAATTTCCTTTTGACAGACCAAGTAAAAATGAGAACACTGTTAATTTTAATCTAACACTAAATGTCTTCATACAATATAATGGTCAAAGCTTTCATATGCAAAATATATAGGTAAAACTGAGTAAAATTGAGTGATATTTAGGGTTACTGTGATATAAAATAATTCCTGTTTTTAATTTCAACACAGTCAGACTTTCATGCAAGAGTCATAATTGATAGAACAGTGGTAAGCAGCGGTTGAAAACAACACAGCTGGTATTAAAGCAATACCAATAATAATAATAAAAATAAAATATAATAATAATAAAAATAAAAAATGTTTCCCACACACAAAAAGTGGTAAAGGTCATTTCAAAAACAGCTTGATGCAGTGATGGGAAGGCAGTAGGTTGGAGATTCTGGAATGATGAAATCAAATGGGCCGAAGGGCCTTCTTCATGCAAACCAATCTTGTGATCCATATCATTTATTTTTGCTGTTGTAGAGCAAGTCAAGGGACATGCGCAAAACCTCCCCCTGCTGGCAGTCAGAGGATCTACATGCTGCTCTTCGGGGCCCAATTTTGTGAACATCACAACAAAATTCACAGACAACTAAATTCACAGATGGCTAAACTCAAAAACAGCTACATTCACAATGGCACCTCACTTTCTCTTTATGCTTTGCTGAGACATTGTTTTTTAATTTGCCCCATTACATGATAGAATGTCTACTAAATTCACAGCCCACAAGGTTGCTGATGGAAATCAGGGCCAAGATATTTGCAAATTGGAAGTCGTAAACCAGAAGTTATAGTTAATGCCAAAAAGTCTAGTTTGCAACTATCACAAATTAGATGCCATATTGCAATAAAAACTGAATTGTGGGTGTGATAACAGCAGCAGAACTAATGTAGCACCTACAAACATTCCTATTTCTATTGCTACCATTTTAAATTACCTGTTCTCCTTGCTCCTTTATCTTTTGTTGCTAAGTATTCTTGTATTAAAGAAATAAAATTATGCATGTGGAGAAAATTTAAATGTTACAATTTTGGGGAGTATTACAGGCATACTAAACAGGAAGATCCAGGTTCAAACCCAATAATAATAATAATAATCCTTGCATTTGATATAGCGCTTTTCACGTCGGGAGGACGTCCCAAAGAGCTTCACAGAACACACTGTAAAGTGAATTGACTGTATATTTGTGGGCGAACACGGCAGCCAATTGCGCACAGCAATGTCCCACAAACAGTCGTAGATTGAAAATGACCAATTTTATTATTGTTTTTGGTTTTTGGGGGGATTATTATTAGGCTCTGTGTGGAGTAAGGAAACTTGCCCAAGGTTTCGCCCTGCCTGGAATTGAACTCAGGTCTCTCACTTGCAAAGCGAGTGCTCTAACCACTGAGCTACATGCCTCCAAGCGTATCTTATAGATTTATTTTATATGGGAAATGATGTGATGTAGCTGATTACTTAATAAGGGACAAGGTTATTGAGCTGGGATATGCAATTTAGTCATATAAAAATAAATAATCCTTGCCTTTGATATAACTCCTTTCACGTCAGAAGGATGTCTCAAAGTGCTTCACAGGATTTACTGCAATGTGTAGTCACAGTGTGTTTTGTAGAAAAATGTGGCAGCCAATCTGCATGCAAAATTGTTCTGAAAACAACCAAGAAGTGAATGGCCAATTTTATCTGGGGGACTGTGGGAGAAGCTTCTCTTTCTCAAATATTGGGATCTTGAACATCCACCTGAGCAGGTAGGCGAGGCCTTAATTTAACATTTCACCCAAAAGATGGCACCCCTGACAATGCACTGGATCTGACTGATCTGAGGTGAGAGTATATGAACTGTATATTGGCCCTATAGGTGTAATTCAGTACTAGGTTTGATACTCATATCAAACTAGGTTTGATATTGGTTTCTTGGGCCTTGGGACGTCTTGGGACGTCCTCCTGACGTGAAAGGCGCTTTATAAATTGAATCTTGTTGTTGTTGTTGTTGTTCTATATTAGTAGAAAACAATGTTTCTCTTAAACTTAAAATAAATATATTTTATTTTTCTGCACCTCTGATTTAATCTATGTTGGTACACTTTGATCTGAGGTCAGCTAAAAATCAGCTCTGAGCTGGTCAGTAGACTGAACTGGTTTGACCTTAGAAAGACACTGGAGTAACCAGTTCAGAAGTGAATTGATTATTGGGTTTACATGATCAGAAGCACAAAAGGGATGATGAATTAGTTGATGTATATCATTGACAGTCAGGATTGAAGCAATGCCAGAATAGTTTTTCTTATTGGCTGCATTGGAAGGTTGAAAAATAAGCTTTACATTTTTCCAGTCCTCCAAGACACTAACCTGGGTGAAGCGTGCAACACAATGAAGGATGCTATAAAATGAAAGGTGCTCTACAATGAAGGGTGCTATACAATGAAGGGTGCTATACAATGAAGGGCGCTATACAATGAAGGGTGCTATACAAGTGCAAGTTGTTCTCTTCCACTGGCTGGCTCTCTTATTTACTAGGACCCATTTAATCTTTATAAATTTAGTTTAGAACATTTTCAAATTCGAATTTCTCAATCCTAATGTGGATTTACTGAAAGGATAAATTCTGTCTCTCTGTGAACTGAGAGGACAGTCAATAAGTGCATCAAGAATTTTTTTTCCCCACTTGTTCATTTATAATGAAAATTAACTCTGCGATGCATGAACAATTTACACTTGATCAATTGGCCTGGCATTACTGCATTGCAATTCCAACAATGTATTTTTTTGCAATATTTTATGCAATAAGGACATAGACAGACTGGTAAAATAGACAGACAGGTGATAGGTGAAGTTTAATGCGGAGAAATGTGAAGTGATGGATTTTGGGAGGAAGAATGAGGAGAGTCAATATAAGCTGATGGTACAATCTTAAAAAGGGTGAAGGAACAAGAGACTGGGGATTCATATAAGTAAATCTTTGAAGGTGGCAGGACAGGTAGATAAAGCTGTTAAAAAAGCATACGTGATACTAGGCTTTATAAATAGGGGCATAGAGTACAAAAGTCAGGAAGTTATAATGATGCTTTATAAAATACTGGTTAAGCCTCAGCTGGAGACTGTGTTCAGTTCTGGGCCCCACACTTTAGGAAGGATGTCAAGGCATTGGAGAGGGTGCAAAAGAGGTTTACCATAATGGTACCGGGAATGAGGGACTTCATTTATCAGGAGAGGCTAGAGAAGCTAGGATTATTCTCCTTCGAGCAGAGAAGATTAAGAGGAGACTTAGTGAAAATTTTCAAAATTATGAGGGGATTCAATAGGATGAACAAGGAGAAACTTTTCCACTGGCGGGTGGGTCGGTAATCTGAGGACACCAATTTAAAATAGTTGTTGAAAGAAAGAGAGGGGAGGTGAGGAGAAATGTTTTCACACAGCGAGTTGTTCGGATCTCAAATGTATTGCCTGAAAGGGTGGTGGAAGCTAATTCCATAACAACTTTTAAGACAGCAGTAGAAAATTATTTGGGGAGGACAAGTTTGCAGGGCTATGGGGATAGAGCAGGAGAGCGGGATTGATTTGGATAGCTTTTTTCAAAGAGCCAGCACAGACACAATGGGCCGATGGCCTCCTTCTGTGCTGTATAATTCCATGATTCTATGATATTAGAGATATTAACCCCTAAAATAATTAGTACTCAAAAATTCTCAGTGTTACATCTGGAATCAGTAATGTGCAACACAGCTACAATGAGATTATATATATGCATCAGCATCATACAGTTTCACTGAAACTCACTGGACAGCCTGAAGATGACTGAAGATAATCAGCTGAAATGCTTTGGAAGAATTTTCACGCATCACAAAAGATTGGAATAATGTAGGCATCCAATTCAATCCAAACAATGCAGTTCTCATTAAAATCAGCAGTTTTTCAGATGGGTTCGATTAAGCTAAATGGATCATCAGTCACCATCATATTCTTAGGGTGTTAGATAGATTAAAAAATGGATAAGGATTCCTAGAATCTTTCAGAAATTTGGAAGATGTGATAAGGCGCTATATCAAATGCAAGGATTATTATTAACTGTAAGTATAGTTACAGTTAATGGAGTCCTGCAGCTCAGTGGTTAGAGCACTCGCTTTGCAAATGAGAGACCTGAGTTCAATTCCAGGCAGAGGGCGAAACCTTGGGCAAGTTTACTTACTCCACACGCCTAATAATAATCCCTCCAAAAAAACAAAACAATAATAAATTGGTCATTTTCAATCCATGACTGTTTGTCGGACATTGCTGTGCGCAATTGGCTGCCGCGTTCGCCCACAAATATACAGTCAATTCACTTTACAGTATATTCTGTGAAGCGCTTTGGGACGTCTAGAAGACGTGAAAAGCGCTATCAAATGCAAGGATTATTATTATTATTATTATATCCTGCATCCACAGAATTTAAATAAGCATAATTTAAAAGAGTTTGGCCCTGAGTTGTTAAGTGAATTAACAAGGGACACTGTTTGATAAATTGGCCTCTGTTGGTGTATTTCTGACTTCTAATGGTAGCCCCTTGGAATCCCATTGACCAACAAAAGATGGTAAATTTACAGAACAGCAAAGTTAATATGCACTCATCGCCGAATATACGGACATTTAATAGAAAACAGAGAATCTGCACCCACCCCCCCACCCAACATTCTGGTAGTTATAAGATCTGAACAACAACAACAAATTGCATTTATAAAGCAACTTTCAAGTCGGGAGGACCTCTTGAGGCCCTGAAGGAACATTGAGGAAATCATTGAACTGTTCATTCATTCATTTTGTATTATAATTCAGCTCAAATGCATATTTTACTTAATTCATTACCTTGTATTGAAGGTGCTGGGGTTGATTTTGCTTCCGTCACCCTTTTTGCCACTGCAGAAATCATAATAACACATTAGTAAATGCACAGTAAATATTGTACTCATGCTAAAACAAATAAGCATCCTAAATTAAATTAGAAGCTCTTATAGAAATAATGTCTCCTATAAATTAATAAAAGTAGTGTATTTGTGTTTAATTAGCAGCATATCAAGTTATGGATGTGAAACCTATAAATTATTTACTGCAGAGTGAGGATTGGGTACTCAAGCTATATAATGCTCTGGTCAGATCACACCTAGAGTATGACATACAATTCTGGTTGCCACAATATGGCCTGCCCAGGCCCTACAGGCAGTGCAGAGGAGAGCGATAAGGATGATCCCCAGTATTACAGGAATGAGCTATGAGCTCAGTTAAGCCAAGGATTAGTTAAACTACAGATCTTCAGTCTTCAAAGAAGCCAACTCAAAAGAATCTGATAGAGGTGTTTAAAATTTTTAATAGGATTGAAAAGTTAAATCCAGAATAACACTTTATATGCACTCCTAGATAAGAGGAAAAACATAATGATAATAATCCTTGCATTTGATATCGTGCTTTCACGTTTTTTAGATGTCTCAAAGCGCTTCACAGAATATACAGTAAAGTGAATTGACTGTATATTTGTGGGAGAAACCCGGCAGCCAATTGTGCACAGCAGTGTCCCATAAACAGCCGTGGATTGAAGTGACCAATTTCTTTCTTTCTTTATTTCTTCATTTATTTTTCTTGAGGGATTATTATCAGACGTGTGGAGTAATGAAATTTGCCCAAGGTTTCGCCCTGCCGGGAATTAAACACAGGTCTCTTGCTTGCAAGGTGAATCCTCTAACTACTGAGTTACAGGAGTCCACAAACCTAGATTTAGAGGTGTAACAGGCAATTTCAGAACAGATATCCAGAGGGTAATTAACAATTAGAATAGGTTACCAGGAGCGTGGTTGAGGCCAGGACATTTGACACATTTAAACAACAGTTTTATGTCACCCACAAAATATACAGTCAATAATTCTGTGAAGCACTTTGAGATGTGTTGAAGATGTGATAGGGCACTGTATTAAATGCAAAGATCATTATTAGTATGAGTGGTTGCCAGGATGGCTGTTCCAGAAGGATGAGACCAAATGGGCCAATGGGACTTTTTCATCCAAACTCATGGAATTATACAGCACAAAAGGTGGCCATTCAGCCAATCGTGTCTGTGCCAGCTCTTTGAAAAGAGCTATCCAAATCAATCCCACTCCCCCACTCTCTCCATGCAAACTTGTCCTCCCCAAATAATTATCTACTTCTCTCATACAATCTGTTATCAAATCAGCTTCCACGACCCTTTCAGGCAATGCATTCCAGATCCAAACAACTCACTGTGTAAAAAATGTCACCTCACCTCCCCTCTTTTTCTTTTAACAACTATTTTAAAAGGGTGTCCTCGGGTTACCGACCCACCCATCAATGGAAATAGTTCTTGTTCATCCTATCCAATCCCCTCATAATTTTGAAAATTTCTATTGAGTCTCCCCTTAACCTTCTCTGCTCCAAGGAGAATAATCCCAGCTTCTCTAGCCTCTCCTGATAACTGAACTCCCTCATTCTTGGTACCATCCTGGTAAATCTCCTTTGCACCATCTCCAATGCCTTGACATCCTTCCTAAAGTGTGGTGCCCAGAACTGAACACAGTCTGTAGCTGAGGCCTAACCAGTGTTTCATAAAGGTTCATCATAACTTCCTGACTTTTGTATTCTATACCCCTATTCATAAAGCTTTGCATCTTGTATGTTTTTTTGACAGCTTTATCTACCTGTCCTGCCACCTTCAAAGATTTCCTTATATGAACCCTCAGGTCTCTCTGTTCCTTCACCCCCTTTAAGATTGTACCATCAGCTTATATTGCCTCTCCTCATCTTCCTCGCTCGCCTCCACTGGCTCCCCATCCCCCAGAGGATCGAATTCAAGATCCTCATCCTCACCTACAAGGCCATTCACGGCCTTGCTCCCTCCTACCTCTCTGACCTACTATCCCCTACCTACCTGCCCGTACCCTCCGTTCCTCTGGCTCCGGTCTGCTCCACATCCCCCGCCCCAACCGCTCTACCACTGGTGGCCGGGCCTTCAGCCTCTCAGCCCCTAGGCTCTGGAACTCCATCCCCAGTGCCTTCGCCTTGCCTCCTCCCTTTCCTCCTTCAAGGCCGGTCTCAAGACCTTTCTCTTTGACTGTGCCTTCAGCTCCCCTCTCGACTCTCTACCCCCTCCTCGCTCCCTCCCTTCCCTCCCCTCACCCTGACTATTTCCCCCCTGCTCGGGTCCTGACCCAACTGTCACGTCCTCCCGACGTGAAAGGCGCTCTATAAATTGAATCTTGTTGTTGTTGTTGTTGTTCCTCCCAAAATGCATCACTTTGCATTTCTCCACATTAAACGTCATCTGCCACGTGTCTGCCCATTTTACCAGTCTGTCTGTGTCCATTTGCAGTCTGTTACTATCCTCCTCACTATTTACTATTTTTCCTAGCTTAGTATCGTATGCAAACTTGGAAATTGTACTCCCTATACCCAAGTCTAGGTCATTTATATAGATCAAAAATAGCAGTGGTCCCAATACTGATCCCTGGGGGACACCACTGCTCACTTCCCTCCTGTCAGATAAACAACCGTTCACCACCACCCTCTGCTTTCTGTCTCTCAGCCAGTTTCTGTATTCATGCTGCCACTGTCCCTTTAATACTATGGGCTTCTATTTTGCTTACAAGTCTCATATGTGGCACTTTATCAAACACCTTTTGGAAATCCATATAAACTACATCAACTGCATTACCTTTGTCCACCCACTCCATTACGTCATCAAAAAACTCGATCAGGTTTGTTAGACATGATTTGCCTTTAACAAATCCGTGTTGGCTGTCCTTTATTAACCCATATTTTTCTAAGTAAAATGAAGTGAAAATTTATTTTGTCCCAGATTGTGATTGTGTAACTGAAAGCCAACGTTCTATTTAAAATATGTCAGGTGATTGTTAGAGTGAGTTTGCACTACATTAGATGGTACATAAGTGTGTTAGATGATGTATGTAATTGTGGTTTGCAATCCAGCCCAAAGATACACTGGATCTAATTTGTGATTAACTAATTCAGAATGTGCTGAAATTCAACATTTTTGAATTCTATTCAGATGTAAATGTCAGGTATATTTAGTCTTGTTGGAATAATCTCAAGCACAACAATGTATTTTAGATATTCAACTGAACCAAAAAAAAGGTTAACAGCAGTATAGAGGTCTCAATGGTTGGCAACAATTCATTCATCCAGGATTCCTTAGTTACAAAATCTTTTACAAATTTCAAAAATAAGACTCCGGTGTTTTGGAAAACTCCTTATCTGGCTGTGCTGTGCCTGACTTGGGAGTATCAATGTGACACAAGATACAAACAGTGTAGAAAATTGTTACAGTATTAGGCACTGTCATTCTTCATCGCAGTGATCGGAACAAAAGAATCACAAAAAACGGTTCTCCAAAAGTAACTAACTCCTTCATCATACCTGTTTTTATAGGACCAGTTTCTAGTTCTGGTTGACAACAAAAAAATTATCAATGTTTGATTGACAAAAAATGTATAGACAAACTGTGTACAACATCTAGAGTCAGAGCTCTTTGAGTTATACAATACAGAAGTAATTCCTTACACTATTACACAATGATGTATAACTTCTGATCCAAATATTCATCCAAACCAATCTTGTGATTTATTAATAAGATTCTGCATTCAGAGAAACAATATATAATATCACTGACACACTAAATAGTCGAATCAAATCCAAGCATTTTATTCCACAAACCATAGTGATTCAATAAAGAGGTAAGATGCTAAACCTATGATTGTTCACTGAAGCATCACTCTCTTATTGCAAAATAGCAGATCATTAATACTGTTGTACTCCTGGCTTTCATCCTTCTTGTAAATGGTTTCTGTGCCAAAATGAACCAGCAAAGCAAATCCAATATCCTAATAGAAAATTAATTTTAGGCGTTTATCAAACAATGCTCCAAGTGCTCCACCTAGAACATTTGTTAAGGTGAGGTTAATGCTATTCCGTTCCAATTGGTAAATTTAGTCAATCTGTCCTTGTGAATGTAATGTAATTTTGAAAAAGTGAATATGGAATTAGATTATACGTTTAACATCGCTAGGGTTTCACGCGCACTTTCAACATTTCAATCTACATTCAAGATTCAATCTGTGCTACAAAGATTCTGAACAGATACTAATAATGCACCATTCACTTTGACAGCAAATTCATCTAGTTTGAATTCAGGGTCGAATTTGAGTTGAAGGTCATATCAGTTTTGCTTGACAAGAAAGCTTACGATGATATGTTTAGCCCCAATCCAGTTGATTTATTAAAAACAATTCCCCTTTCTACTTAGCTTTTTTTTGCATTGCATGCCATTTCAAATCCACAGTGGTGCAAGCAGACAATCACAGGCCTCTGCCGATGTCCCTTGACAACTTAGCTCCAACTAATTCAAAACTAATTAAAAACTCCACCACCTGTATACTCACCCACTCTAAATTCCGTACCCCCATCACACCAATCCTCAGCAGGCTCCACTGGCTCCCTATCACAGAATGCATCGACTTCAAGATCCTTACATAGATCCCTTCATGCCCTGGCACATCCCTACCTCTCTGATCTGCTTGCTCCCCACTCCACCATCTGCCACTTCTGCTTGACTGGCTCCGGCCTCCTGCTTGTCCATTATCCCCTCTGCTTCACTATCGGTGGCTGTGCTTTAAGTCACTATGCCTTGAAATTTTGGAACTCTCTTTCTCAATTCCTCTGCCTTGTCCCCTCATTCCCCACTTTAAAATCACGCCTTCCTCTTCGGCCATACTTATGGTCACGACCCTTTCGGCTTGGAGTCAGGCTTTGCCACTGTTAAGTGCTCCGAGATGCTACCCTGCATAAGGGTGCTATACTATTGTTGTGAACAGAGAGGGGTGACCAAAAAGCAGCGCATAGTGACTGCCTCTCCATTTTTCCCATTCTCCCTGAGTGCAAGTGGTTGCTGTTCAGAACAACAACAACAACAACAAGATTCCATTTATAGAGCGCCTTTCACGTCAGGAGGACGTCCCAAGGCGCTGCACAGTTGGGTCATGACCCGAGCAGGGGGGAAATGGTCAGGGTGAGGGGAGGGAAGGGAGGGAGAGAGGAGGGGGAAATGGTCAGGGTGAGGGGAGGGAAGGGAGGGAGCGAGGAGGAGGAAGAGAGTCGAGAGGGGAGCTGAAGGCACGGTCAAAGAGAAAGGTTTTGAGACCGGCCTTGAAGGAGGAAAGGGAGGAAGCAAGGCGAAGGCACTGGGGGATGGAGTTCCAGAGCCTGGGGGCTGAGAGGCTGAAGGCCCGACCACCGATGGTAGGGCGGTTGGGGCGGGGGACGTGGAGCAGACCGGAGCCAGAGGAACGGAGGGTACGGGCAGGTAGGTAGGGGGATAGTAGGTTGGAGAGGTAGGAGGGAGCAAGGCCGTGAATGGCCTTGTAGGTGAGGATGAGGATCTTGAAATCAATCCTCTGGGGGATGGGGAGCCAGTGGAGGCGAGCGAGGGTGGGAGTGATGTGATCGCGAAGCCTGGTGCGGGACAGTACACGAGCTGCAGAGTTCTGAATGACCTGCAGCTTGTGGAGGGAGGTGGCGGGAAGGCCGGCGAGGAGAGAGTTCCCATAGTCCAGCCTTGAGGTGACAAAGGCGTGAACCAGGGTTTCAGCGGCGTGAGGGGTGAGGTAGTGCCGTAATCTGGCGATATTCCGGAGGTGATGGAAGGCGGTGCCAGTTGTGGTGCGGATGTGAGGGAGAAAGGACAGCTCAGGGTCGAACAAAACGCCGAGGTTCCTGACTGGCTTTGAGAGGTGGAGAGTGCAGCCTTGGATGCTGATGGTGTCAGCGCCTGAGGTGCGGAGGCGCTGACGTGAGCCAATCAGGAGGGCCTCGGTTTTTCGCACGTTGAGCTGAAGAAAGTTGTCTCTCGTCCAGGACTCGATGTCGGACAGGCAGGCTGTCAGGACATCGGTGGTCGTGGAGTTGAGAGTAGAGGAGGAAAGGTAGAGTTGGGTGTCATCCGCATACATGTGGAAGTTAACCCCATGTTTGCGGATGATGTCACCGAGGGGGAGCATATAGAGGGTGAAGAGGAGGGGACCGAGGACAGAGCCCTGAGGGACACCACATGAGACAGTACGGGGGTGGAGGAGAAGCCATTCGTTGAGACGAAGTGAAGACGGTGGGAAAGGTAAGAGCTAAACCATTCAAGGACAGTGCCTTGAAGGTTGAGGTGGGAGGACAAGCGGTGGAGTAGGATAGCGTGGTCGACCGTATCGAATGCTGCCGATAGGTCGAGGAGGACGAGGAGACAGAGGGAGCCCTGGTCACAGATGGTCAGGATATCATTGGTGACCTTGACCAGGGCAGTTTCTGTGCTATGAGCAGCACGGAAACCTGACTGAAGGGGTTCAAAAAGAGAATGGGTGGAAAGGAAAGAACAGTGATCACTGTTAGAAAGTCCACACTATTGACACTAGTAAATGTAATACCCTTGGGCAAGGTGGGGAACCACTGTTGGAAAGTGCTTTTAATTACAATTATAATGCAGATGTTTGTGTTCATGATCCCAGAACCTGTGTTATGATGAGGTCTGTCTGTATGTGATTATCAATGTAAGGAATTACAGGATCACCTGGAATCTTTCTATTTGGTTGTCAGTTACATAATTAAGGGCATTTCTAGATGTTTGCAGGCAGTTAACCCAACATTAATTTTTCACAAGGTTTGTTACTCCAACCCGCAAATACAGTAAAACCCCCAAGTAAATGTATAGATTTAATCAGAGAGCAGTGCTGAAATTATGACCATGAAATACAAATACAACAGTGATGTGAAACAAAGATAGTGACTGTGGATCATTGTGAACTCATTCAAGGTGCAACTTTCATTTACATTTATGATCATCAGCTTGTGGTATTCACAAGGGCTGTGGCTAATTTAGCAGTTAGCTCTGAAATTTGGCAGAAAATATTTTTTACATTCATTATAGTGCCTTATCATGTTATTAAATGTCTCAAAGCATTTCACAAGATTTTACTGTAAAGCGTATTGGTAGGCAAACTTGCTGGCCAATTTGTGCATGGAAATATTCCGCAGCAGCCATAAAGCCACCAATTTGATCTGGGAGAAATTGTCCAGGACACGCAACCTTTCTTTTTGAGTAGTGCTATGGGATATTTACCATCCTCCTGAACAGGCAGATGGGACCTTGGGTTAATGTCCTGTCCAAAGAACCATACCTCCGACCATGCAACTGGCCCCCTTATACTGTACTGGAGTGCCAGCCCGTATGAGCTCAAAGCCTCAATGTGGACCCATAACCTTCTGACTCAGAGGCAAGAGTGCTATCAACTGAGCCATTCAATCACATTAGTAAGCTGCTGAGAAAAACAAATGTCTTTTGACAGGTGAATATTGGATGAAAGTGATGACAGGATTCCTTTTAGTACGAGAGGCTGTTTAATTTTGCAGTTCCATCACGTATACTTTCGGGCACGTTGGTAGTTTGGGAGATGGTCTGCATCTTCTGCATAAGTTAATCAAATAACTTAATTAACTCGCAATCATTCTGTAGCCAAAAGCATGGCCAGTTGGTTAATGAAATTCATAATTATTAAAAAATTAAACTATTCTCCCAAATGACAAAGCTAAAAAGAAAATCGGTCCCTACTCTGAAAGGAACAGAAGAGATGACTCTGACTGCCAGAAGGTTGAGTGGACTTTGATGAAAATCCTATTAACTATGTATATGATCTAAACTGACCGCCATTTAGATCTGTGACCAAAAGATTTCAGATACAGCACAAGGCCCAGGACAAAACGTTGTAACATATTTAAACAATTTATGTTCAAGGCTTTTCACTGAAAGATGAATGCACATTAGTAAAGCTGTTCCCTGGAACCAAACTCATATCTGATAACTAGATTAGAGCTTACCAGCACTGTGATTTGAAAGATTGCACTATTATTTTCATCAAATGGAATTGAATTATTCATCAATCATTTTGACACAGGTCACTGTATGGCCAAGGGAACTAATGCAATAGCAGTAAGTGATTGGCTAGAAGCCATTCTGTGTGCTCATTAGTATTGGATAAACAATAACTTTCTTCTGTATTACAAATATGCTCCTGCATTTCATTTAGTGTAAAACCAACTCAGATTAGATTATTGTTGTTTAGAATGGCATATGATAATATTCAGGAAAAAAATCACTGTAAAATGACTGCAGATGAGAAAACGAATGTGGATAAAATAGCTAATTTCAATACCAAGCCTTGAAACATACATCACAAGCATACATGCATGTTTGGATTCATTAACACCTGGACACACTATCTATTAAACAAAAATGCTCATACTAGGTTCTTAGTCAGGATAAAATGTCATATTTCCAGTCTGTTTACGTGTAACTGATGTGTTTTTCAACAGTATTTGCATCTTCTAATAAATAGATAAATCTCCAAACAGCCCAATTTCTAGATTTTCGAAACATCTAGTACTTAAAGGATGGATTTATAGAAAGCATCACTCTATCGAGTTTAACAACTACAGTAGTTTAAGCAATGTATTAACAAATAAATTGCCCTTTGTCATGTATTGCATTGCGGTTAATACACCAAAGTAACTGATTAGTCAGCTGTATGTTTTGTTGGGGGAAGGGAGGCTATTCTCCCAAATAAATCAGTGGGGAGGATTAGCTCCTCTCTGGTCTTCACACCACAAAACGTAAGAAGTCGCACTGGAAAATATATGACTGCAAAGATACTTACTTGCTAGTTTTGCTTTCATTGGCTTTGCTGTAAAGAGGAAGAATACAAAAAGGAAGAATTCAAATCAGTGAAAAATCGGATCTGAAGAATTAGCCACATTCAAAGGCAGCAAAACAAAGAATGGGGGAAAAAAAGCAATCCCAAGTAAATACAAATGTTCTTTCCTGTTACTGCTTTCAGAACATTTCCTCATGTTCTATAAAAATATACTTATACATGTTTGAAATACTCTCATCAGACTCAACCGCATCTAACTTTAAAATCATAATTTCATGTACACAGATAATTCAGCCACGTCTCAAACCATGGTTGAGGGCTGGAAAGAAGACACCATCATCTTGTGCAATACAATAGAAATTTACATTTATATAGCACCATATGCATTGGCAGGACATCCCTAAGGCGTAACAGTACAAGGATAAATGTCACATGTATGAGGTCAAAGATGACGTTGACATGTAAGAAAGAGATGAGAAAGGAGGAGGACATTACTGGAATCATAAAATACCTTGAAAGAGACAACATCATAGGATAAAATCTCACTTACAAGAAGGACAAATATTCAGAGGTCCATCTTGCAAAATGAAGACGTTATCTTTCCTTGCGTGTCGATAATGTAACGAGAAATATCAGACACAGGGATCAAGACACAGAGATCAAGAACTTCCCTTGCTTCATACGTTGAGAGATCAAGCCTACCACCATTTTGAATGAAGAAGAAACAAACTAGGAAGATGTCAAAACCAATGCAGCTTCACACAACAAAAATCTTCAAAATACCTTATTGTTCATACACAATCAAGCACAACATTTCTGTTGTCTTATTTTATTCTTATTCACCTAGAAATTACTTAGTTGATTGGGGAAAATATTTGAGATGTATGATAATATGTCTATAAACAAATTAATGCTATAATTAAGTCTACTGTAATTATGCCCAAAATAGAATTAACTTTTCAGTAGCTGTACTGCTGAATGGACTAAAACAGCAGTGACATTAGCACAGGCAACAACCTTTATTTAAATATTTTGGTTTAAAATGTGATATTCGCAAACCCGAGTAGGTGCATTAAGGTGTGTCTGCCTGGTGCAGTTGGTAGTAGCCGTCTGAGTCAGAATGTTGTGGGTTCAACACCCACATCATGACTTGGAATCCATACAGTCTAAGATGACACTCCATTGTTGGAAGTGTTGTTCTTTAGATGAGGCTTTAAACTGAGTCCCTATCTGCCTGTTCAGGTGGACATTAAAGATCCCATGTCACTAATCAAAAAGAAAAGGGAGTTTTTCCCGATGTTCAAATAAAATTAGTCATCCACTTTGTGGCTGTTTGTGGAACATTGTGGGAAATTGGGCTGCTGCATTTGCCCACAAAACGCAGTCACTTCATTTTATAGTATATCCTGTGAAGCACTTTGGGACATCCTCCCAATGTGAATGGTGCTTACCAAGTGTAAGGATTGTTATTATTATTAATAATTGTGACATCTGGTTTACAAATATTGGATTTTGAGGCAAGCTTAAGAAGGGTAAATTGCGAATCTGAAGGTTACAAAGCCTCCAAAAAGACCACCATTTCACTTACCAACACTTTTTGGATTTGCACAATTTGATATTCATAAGACAGAATTCAGAATTAACCAATAAAACTAGCATTTTAGTTATAAATAAGGGGAAATAATTCTCAGGGAGCCTCTTTACAAATGAAAGTTGTTCCTTTTGATTAATTTACTGTTTGATTTTCTGTGGTTTAAAGTCAAATGGCAGCAGGTTTGTCAACCAACATTTCCTTTCAAAGTATCACACGTAAACTGGACTGGAAATGTTTTCTTTACTGCTACAGGAACTTACCAGTTGTCAAGAAAAAAAAAGACAACATAACATAATTCACAACCTGATTGTCCCAACAACGTACAAGAATCTCTGACCCACACAAATCCTAAGTGATTATATCAAAGTAAGATTCTAAATAGAAATTCTAAATAGTCCACTAACAAGCTCCCTTGATGAAGCCATAAATCAGAGGCTGAAAAATCAATTACACATCAGGGAAACTGCAAACGGTCTATTTGTTCCTTTGAAGAGCTACTGCACTTTTGCTTGGTTGGAAAATAATTGAATGGAGAAATAAACAGTCAGTGAATTTGGGAACGTTAACATAAAAAAGATCTTCCAAATGAAAGATCTGTCATTTTAAGAAGCAGATTGTGTCAGTCATCACCAGATAACATTACAAGCCCAATGAAGCAGAGCAAGGCAGAGAGATGCTCCAAGCTACTTAACACTTCGAAGTTAAGCACGAGTGACATCATATCAATATCTTGTCAATGACTTTCACTGTCACTAATTGTTTGCCATCCTTATTTAAACCATGTTGATTGTTAAAGAACTAAATTAAAAGACTTAGAGAAACCATAAACCTGATGGTGGAGGGTCCCAAATGTTATGATATTGGCTATCAACGAATGTAAGGGGTCTTGAGTGATATGAAATACTTTACACAAACTACCGACAAATCTGGCTGGACCGCCTCAAAATCTACCGCTCCACTCTAGCCTCAGCCAAGTGGTCCTGCTACTCCAGGATAATCCTGGAGGCGAAGATCAACCCCAGGCTTCTGTGAAGCGCTTTGAGGCATCTTGAAAACATGCTATGGTACTATATCAAATACAAGGATTATTATTATTGATATAATTACAAAAATACATCACATCTGATCTGCTGAGATGTCTTGAATGTACAAAATAATAATAATAATAATCCTTGTATTTGATATAGCGCTTTTCACATCTTCTAGATGTCTCAAAGCGCTTCACAGAATATACTGTGAAGTGAATTGACTGTATATTTGTGGGCGAAACGCGGCAGCCAATTGCGCACAGCAGTGTCCCACAAACAGTAGTGGATTGAAATGACCAATTTATTATTGATTTTTTCTTGAGGGATTATTATCAGGTGTGTGGAGTAAGGAAACTTGCCCAAGGTTTTGCCCTGCCAGGAATCGAATGCAGATCTCTCGCTTGCAAAGCAAGTGCTCTAACCACTGAGCTACATGACTGCACGGAATTACCACAGAAAGGACAATTGAGTGTCCAAGTCAAGAATAGCATCTCAGTATTTTTGCTGGTAATGAGGCCAACAGGTGTAACTGCAGCAGAAAATGCAAAACTGAAAGTAACTCACGAACGATAGGAGATAACCGAAAACAAATATGCTTCTCGTCCAGCTCTCACCCAGTTACCTACGGGGTACCCTAAGGATCCATCCTTGGCCCCCTCCTCTTTCTGATCTACATGCTCCCTCTTGGGGATATCATCCGCAGACATGGGGTACATTTCCACATGAATGCGGACGATACCCAACTCTATTTTTCCACCTCTCTTTGCGACCCCCAGTCCCCTGATATTCTGTCAGCCTGCGTGTCAGACCTCAGGAGCTGGATGAGCACAAAATTCCTTCAGCTGAATGTTGACAAGACGGAAGCCATACTCTTTGGCTCTCATCAACGTCTCAAATCTCATGGCTCTCACCTCCTCCACCTACCCGACCTCCCCCTAAAACTCTCCAAATCCGTACGCAACCTAGGCGTCAGGTTCAACCCCCAATTATCCTTCCTCCCCCACATCCGGTGCCTCACCACTACCGCTTTCTTCCGCCTCCGACACATCGCCCGTCTCCTCCAATACCTCTCTCCTAAATCCACTGAAACCCTGGCACATGCCTTTGTCACCTCTCGGCTGGACTACTCTAATGCCCTCCTCGCCGGTCTCCCCTCCACTACCATCCATAAAATCCAGATTATTCAAAACTCTGCTGCCCGCATTCTCACCCGCACCAAACTCCGCTCCCCGATCACCCCAGTCCTTGCCAGACTGCACTGGCTGCCTGTCCCAGAGAGGATAGACTTCAAGATCCTCACCCTTGTCTTCAAATCCCTCCACTCCTCCACACCCCCTACCTCTCTGATCTCCTCTCTCCTCAAAAAAGTGCCCTTTGCCTTCGTTCCTCCGGGTCTGGCCTCCTCCTTGTCCCCCGAGTCCTCCTCTCCACCCTCGGCAGCCGTGCCTTCAGCCACTGTGCCCCGAACCTCTTGAACTCCCTTCCTCATTCCCTTCGCCTCGTCTCCTCTCTTCCTATTTTCAGGTCTCTGCTGAAGACCTTTCTTTTCGACCGAGTCTTTGGTCACCTTCCTCCCCCTCCCCCTGGCTCGGCCCTGGGATCCGTTATTGTGAAGCGCTCTGAGATGCCTTCCGGCATGGAGGGCGCTATATAAATCCAAGTTGTTGTTGTTGTTGCTTTGAAACACCCTCGCAATATAAAAAGTGCTACATCAAGTGCAATGATTACTATTATTAGTAGGAGGAGATTTGTATTCACAGGCATTTACACTGCATTACCTTGTTTATCTGGGGTGGCTGAAGCTGTTCTCTTCACTTCTTTCTCAATCTCTGCCAAATAAAATTTGTGGTACAATTAGTCAGATACATTTCAATATACAGTATACATAATAGTCTGAGAAATGTTTGGCTACAGTCATTATTAAACTCCATAGTAAATCCTGTGTAGAACTTTGTAGCCTGCCCGCTCGCTCCGCTCAGTGGGCTCTGGCCTGCTTCACGTAGCCCGACTCGCCCACCCCACCATTGGCGGGCGGCCCTTCTGCCACTCTGCCCCCAACCTCTGGAACTCCATCTTGCTGTCCCTCCACCTCAGCCCCTCCCTTGTCATCTTCAAGACCCAAATCACGACCTTCCTCTTCAACCGTGCTTTCAATCTCCCTGCTTCCCCCACTGCCCTTCACCCTCCCCATCCCAACCCCCAGCTCGGGTCCGAAACACTAACTGTCCAGCGCCTTGGGTTGTCCTACAAAGGACGTCCTGAAAGGCATTATACAAATGTAATTTTGTTGTTGTTGAGATGTCCGCCTAATATGAAAGAACATATACCAGGCGCAGGGATGATAATTATTATTGTTATTATCAATAATCTTTTGTTTTTCAAACTAATAACTTTAATATACAGTTGGGTCAGGCTTGATAAACAAAGCACAAGTTGCTAAGCCATTTGCAATTCAGTAGGTGTGCAGAGCAAACTAGCATCGGAATTGGACTTCAGTTAAGAATATGAATAGCTTGACTCCACATTGACCTGCAAATAATTATTTTTCCTGATGGTTTTCATTTCAAAAAATTAAAAAGTTTTTTGGAGTGAATTGTTAGTTTTTATGGTCATAGATAGTTTATGAGTCTACTAAGGGTACCAAAACACATCTGTGAATAACTGTAGCTTCTAACCTGTACTATAAGCATGCAACAGAAATAATAATAATCCTTGTATTTGATATAGCGCCTTGTCACATTTTCGAGATATTTCAAAGCGCTTCACAGAATATACTGTAAAGTAAAATTGACTGTATATTTTATGGGTGAAAATGTATGTTTTTAGCACAAAGTTATCTCCAGTATTTTAAAAGACCTTGGTGGGTAAATGTACTGGAAAGTGTTCTGTTGGCCTGTGTTGTCAATCATCTGATAAACTACACAGACATAGAACTATACTTAGGTAATGCAAGTCTTTGACTGCTGTTCTGCTCTGGTAGTCACTCAGTTTCAGCTCTAGCAGACATGACAGCATCAGTGATAACTGCAAAATGGCCAGGCATGTGAACAATATGCAGTGCATCAATTATACTCTTCTAGCAACAAGTAATGCAAACACAAACAGAGATCAATTTACCCCTCTGAATGAATGTTGTCTGTTTTTGTATATTAGAAGACAACAAGAACATAAATGGCTAGTAATGAAGAACATATTGGTCTTTGAATAGACCCAATGGGCCAATTTTTGAAATCAATGAATCTGGAGTTGAGTCTATAACCCATCCTAACTGGTTGACATTGCTCTTGCCAACATCCTCCTTCATCAGAAAGAATGACAGTAAGTATGAAGACATCATAGGATGTGAGCATAAATGATATATTACTTCATGGATGTGTATAATCATGTCATTATCTACATTTATTGCAGCAAAATACATCTGAAATTAACCATATGGAGACAGTGATTAACAATTAACAGTAATCCCAACCAAATGGATTAAGTTGACAGAAATGAACCTGCATTCAAGGGTGCTTTTTTATATCAATTGCTGATAAATTTGATTGTTTACTCACTTGCTTCTTTCTCTTTGGATGGTTTGACTGAAAAGATCAAAAAGTTGAGTTAGAGAATTAGATTTGCACAGTTGTAATTTTCATTTTTCACTCATACTTTTCCATAAATCATTACAATTGAGGCTAAATCATCGTCAATGATTTCGACATTAAACTGATCTTATTTTCTCATCACTACAGCAGCACTCGTTGCACTTGTCCAGATTCCTACAATAATAATCCTTATATTTGGTATAGCACCTTTCATTTCAAGAGGCTGTTCTAAAGCGCTTCACAGGATGTACTATAAAGTTAATCAGATGGTATTTTACTTTGCATCTGCATCTGTATGTGACTGTGTGTGATTTTTGGGCATTCTTCAACTGATGCCAATAGAAATGAAGCATTGGAACAGCTTTTAAGCTTTCAACATCTTTTGACCTAGTTTCAATCAATAGTTTCACATTACAACTAGAGCTGCTGTAGTGGCTTGCTCCAAATTCTTCATCTGATACCATTACAAATGAAACATTGGCGACAGGCTTTAAGCAGGTCTCCATTTTCCCCACTTGTGTCGGTTGATACAATAGTTTGTGTCATAGCTATGAGGAGCAAAAATATACCTTAGTGGATTAACACACTGCACTTTCACTTGCTGGAAGGTGGGTTTGATTTAACTTGGACTGATGGAATAAAAGCTTCCTCTTATTGAATTAAAGCATTCTCTTATGGTGTCTCTTCTGACGTTGCTTTAATCAGAGGGTGTTTTACTTTGCATCTGCATGTTATCTGAACGGAGACAGCTTGATGCTAATTCTGGGGTGGTATGAAGGATCTATTCTGCACCCATTTTAAGTCAATAGAGGCAACACAAGACTGACAATTTGAGAATATATCACCATATATCACAAAACAACAACTCTCCTTTTATGTCATCAATTCATCACCCAGTCCACAAATACCTAGTCAGGGAAAAAGAGACATTTTGTTCACAGCAGAAATACAACATATTTTCCATTAAATGATATCAACAATAAGGTTCCAATCATAAGAGGAAACAAGACCAATAAAATTGCAGTTTCAATAAAAATCAATCCAATTGTTTTATTTTCATGTAAAAAGGGAGTTCTGTTTCTATCCCCGAGTATCAGTTTCATGCAGTATCAGAAAATATTTGAAATAAACGTTATTGTAGTTTGTAATTCTATATGATAACAGTAACAATTTCAGGCATGATTAACCCATTGATCTATCAAGAAATCACCGATTTGTAAAAAGTCATTTTATTTGCAAAAATGTGTATGTAGCACATGACTGTGATCACATTAGAATAGCTTTTATAAAGGTTTACCAACCTAGCTCTTTTGCTGGATGTACCTTTTCTTCTCTCTTCTCTTGAGGTTCTGCAAACAATGGGAAAGGCTTGGCATCGGTTACTGGTTTATATGTGGGACTAGATTTGAAAGCATCAAATTATGTATACACCAAGGATGATAACGTTCCCTAGAATTATAACAATTATAGTAGAAAGTGGGCAATTCAACCTATGTCATTTATATTGGTGCTAGCTTCTTCATTGGATTCCACATCCTTCCTCTTTCTCCATAATCTCTTACATTGTTCATCCTCAAATATGTATCCAATTCCTTTTTAAATCTTATGAGCTTCAACTTCAATTGCCACTTGTGGCAAAGCATTCTGTTTTGTAATAACGCTCTCCATACAAAAAGTTTATTCTAACCATTCTTCCAGTATTAATCCTTGGCTTACACCCCATTTGAATAAAAAAATAACAACTTGCATTTATGCAGCACCCTTCACGTGGGGTAGTGTCTCAGAGTGACTAAAAAGTGATAGTTTCAGATATGGAAGTATAGGAAATTGTAATTTCACTGCAAGCCCAGGGAAAATATAGACTGTACAAAGGGTCAATTTTTCCATTGTTTCAATTTCTGAGCTACCGTTCACCTCCAAAATACAATCACTGCACTTTACAGTAAAATCCTGTGAAGTGTTTTGAAACCTCCCGACGTGAAAGTCACAAAAACAATTGCAAGGTTTATTGAATGTCACAGATTTTCACAAACAATTCTCTTAAACCTTTTCATTATCTCAAAAACCTCTATTATGAGTCCTGTAGCTCTGTAGCATGCGAGGGACCTGGTTTTGATTCCCGGCAGGATGAAACCTTGGGCAACTTTCCTTATTCCACATACCTGATAATAATCCCTCAAGAAAAAAACAATAATAAATTGGTCACTTCAATCCACGACTGTTTGTGGGACACTGCTGTGTGCAATTGGCTGCTGCGTTATGCCCAAAAATAAGCAGTCAATTCACTTTACAGTATATTCTGTGAAGTGCTTTGAGACGTCTCGAGGAAGTGAAAAGTGCTATATCAAATGCAAGGATTATTATTATTATATTATTACTATCATATCATCCCTCAACCTTTTCAGCTCCATCAGAAACCGCTTTAACTTCTCATCAAAGCTATATCCTTTCATCAGCAAAATCATCCTCGTGGACTTACACTGTACCTTTTACAGAACTCTAATATCCTTTCCATAATGCGGGGCCCAAAACGTCATAATAGTCCAGCTGCGGCCTAACCAACCAGTGTCTTGTACAAAATCTTATAAAATCTTACAATGTCCTATAACATGTCTTATAAAATCTTGCCTGGGCATAACAGAAAACAACTGGGCTAAAATAAATCCTCTGGAAATTGTTTGTTAAAATCTGAAAATAATTACCTTTCTTTGTCCTCTTCTGCTCCATGGGTTTTGGTTCTGCAACAGTTATGAGGAAATATTTTAACATGTATCAGTGTGGAATGTGTGGCAACAAAAGCAAAATTCACCAATGAATATTATTAATGAACCAAAGTTTGTTTTTTGAATCTTATGTGCCTTCACCAGCAAGTCTGCAGAAAGTATGATGACCAGTAAGCAGCTCATTCAAAATGTACTAAAACCGAATGTTAAATATTCAAAGGTTACATATTGTCAAGTTAATAAAGAAAAGCTACCTTAACAGAGAATGCAGAAGGCATTTCAATCCACAGCCATGGTGGGCAAAAAATTTTCATAAGCACAAAACTAATTTTTAGTTGTAAGCTTATAAAAGCCAAATAGCTCTTACATTTGATTTAATACTACCAGTTGTTAGAGTAGTTTGAAAATCTTTTTAAGCCCAATGTTACTTAAAGAAGCTTTGGTTCAACTATGATGAGGAAATTGTATGTTGAAATTCAGTGCAATGTAGATAAACAGGATGAGCAAGCTAATGTGCATCACTGTAATTCTTTACATGCATCTACAGTACATATCATATTGTACATTAATTTGCAGATTCATTAACCGTATGGCGAGTGACAGCAGCATTGTTCCTTTCTATTGTCCTCAATGTCCAAAAACCTTTTATGCCATTGAATAGCGATGACACAATTCATTGCTGGCACAATGAAAGAAGGCTTATCAGCCAAACCTGAATCAAAATCCTATTTTCTGAATTCATCTTTCCTAAAATCTCACTTGACAGCAATACATGACCAATAAATATTTATTTGAATAAAATAATGTAGAGTATTTCAGTGAAATACTGTACAACATACAGTACTTCTCATTTTGCTCTTTAATGCAGGTCATTGCATTTGACCTATTCTCCCATTGGACAGACACTAGATATTTTCAGGAGGGACATGACATGGTTAACCTAGTTACTTGGCACGACAAGGCAGCAATGTATTTGACTTTGATATATACATACACATCTATCTCAATTAGTGAGTTTTTACAACCTGGAGACCAGGGATGGACAGCTTATTAATGCATTGCCGCATGCTGTCATTTCCTTTTTATGTACCCTTTGACAGAGGTGAATAGCAGTCTGTAAAATAATTAGGAACCTATGTTCATTGTCGGTTACAATGTTCTATTTTCATAATAGCCGCTCATTAAATTATACGACCAAATCAAGTTATATTCCTTTCCTCATTTAAGTATCTGATAGAAGACATTTCTTGCTGCTGAAATATTTTGTCATGTACAAATGGGGTTGTAACTAAAGTGGTTAACGCATTAAATTAATTTACATTTCACGTGTGTATTTCGTTTTTGAGGATTTACTAATATTACATAAATAATTTGAGTAACAATAATCAGGTTCTGGTCACTAGGCAATATGTTGGATTTTAAACATGAAGTTTTCTGAGCAAGATTTTTGTTTAATACGGCTGGAACATTTGGTGCTGTTTCACTGTAACATATTCCTGTGGTGGCAGTCCTTGGACTGCTTCACAATGCAGGCCTCTGTGCAAGAAAACTCTTGCTTTAATTAAGTGTCAGACCAGTAGAATGTTAACAGGGGCTTTTGTCAAATTACTGGAGAGGTCATTTAATCCTTGTCCCCTACTTTCTATTCACTAAAAGTATATAAACTCCAAAGCATGCAACTTTGAAACACCAAGCTCAGCAAAGCTGCAATAAACAGAGAGCAAGCAGGTCATTTGTAAAACATCTCCTATCAGGAGGGAAGAGCTCACACACACTCAAATACACACACACAGCTTGAATCTACTTTTGTCTTGTGGTTAAAACAAAATAAAAGTTCCTGATGAAACATACCTGCTTTTTGAGATTTTTCATGTTTGGCTAAAAATAAAACGATTTACAAATAGTGTATGAGGGATAATGCTGCAGATAAAATCTTTTCACTGATAGGAATGAAATCATTTGAACCATAACTGAATTAAGAAATTCAGATGCACATAACAGGAATCTATTGCATTTGAATGGCTCACTGAGCTAGATGTCCTTTTCTCGTAGCTGTTCTCTCCGTTTAATAGCTGTGATACAGAGAAACAATGGTAAACAGTTGGTGTACTGCGAGCCCCACACTGAATGACTTCAAAAGCGCATAGAGCGCAAGAGGGTTGTAAAGTTACAATGTCATGATATAGTTTACCCTCCACTAAACTAATCTTCTCAAGTTATTGATTCAGTCTATACAACCACTGAAAAGTACTTTCGTTCCAGTAATTCAGTACTGGAGACTCCAAATGTGTGATAGTCTTTGGAAATGCAGGCAGGAGCGTATTAGGAAATAATTTTATCATATCACAACTTCTTAATGGCTTCACAAGTATCACTGTCAAGTGCAGGTGATTATTTTTAGAAGGCAAATGAGGCAGCCATTTGGGGCAGCGATGGCCTACATACAGCCATGAAGTGAATGACCAATTAATCTTTTGCACAGCTGGAAGGCAGAAACAATATTGAGGGGAGCAGATAATGCTAATGTCACAAGAGTTTTATGGCGGCCAATTATTGTGGTTTTGGAAAGATGTTCTTGTTTATTCAGTAGGGTGAATCTTGCAACATTTCATAAAAAGATTTGGAATCTATTATTATACGCTGTAATTATCATATATCTATTCATTCCTAAAGCGTGACCATGGAACTAAACACTCGCACCCCCATCCACGCATTGGATACTAAATTTTTTACATCAAAAGTCAGCATAACATTTTTTAAATCCTGGAGGCAGTATTTTCGTGTTACTCCACGGGATGCTGCTTTAAGGCAGTATTCTATCTTAGTTACATTCGAACATTGAGCTCTGTGATCATAAGCAGAAAAGGAATGGAGAACTCCTAGGAGTGACAATTACTAGGATATACTGTCGATTTCCCCCGGTTTCTTCAGGTGTGGTTCAGGAGATTCTCATTGCCAGTTACACATACACATCTGGGCATCTGTTTTTGAAGAACTCACCTAAGGCCTTCTCGTTTGCAGGTTTATCTGCCCAAACTATACAAAATTAAAAAGAAACAGAGTTATAACTGTTTCAGAGGTCTGGATTACATTTGGTATAGCATCGATCACATCAATAGAATGGCCCGAAGTACTTTAGAGGATATGCTGAAAAGTGCAGTAACTATATTTTGTGGGCGAATATGGCAGCTAATTTTTCACACATCAATGTCCCACAAACAGCCATGGAGTGAATGACCAATTTTAGTTGGACTATTATTGGCCAGGATATCGGGATACATGATTTGTTTTAACGCTTGTTTTAACGTGTTATCCAAAAGACAGTACCAACAACAATGCAGCACAACCATAGCACTGCTTTGGAGTGTCATCTTAGACCACATGAGTTCAAAGTCCTGATGTGGGACTTGAACCCATAACCTTCTGACTTAGAGATGAGAGTACTAGCAACTGAGCCAAGCTGAAACATGCGTAGTAAAAACCATTGGCACAATCCGAAGTTTGTGGATCCATTTGTTGCAACCATTTCTCACTTTATTAACTTTTTGTTCCTTACTTCTTACTCACTTGCTTTATTTCTCTCCATGAATATTATTTTCTGTTATATTTTGTCTCACGTGCCATTTTTTATTCTTGTAATCTCTAAGCTCCTTTTTTTCCCATCTTTTGGTGATGTCTTCAGGCTGTACCCTATATAACTCTCAACTTTCTTCAGCTGAACGTGCGTAAAACTGAGACCCTCAGGATTGGCTCACGTCAGCGCCTCTGCACCTCAGGCGCTGACAGCATCAGCATCCAAGGCTGCACTCTCCACCTCTCAAAGCCAGTCAGGAACCTCGGTGTTCTGTTCGACCCTGAGCTGTCCTTTCTCCCTCATATCCGCGCCACAACTGGCACCGCCTTCCATCACCTCCGGAATGTCGCCAGACTACGGCACTACCTCACCCCTCACGCTGCTGAAACTCTGGTCCACGCCTTTATCACCTCAAGGCTGGACTATGGGAACTCTCTCCTCGCCGGCCTTCCCGGCACCTCCCTCCACAAGCTGCAGGTCATTCAGAACTTTGCAGCTCGTGTACTGTCCCGCACCAGGCTTCGCGACCACATCACTCCCACCCTCGCTCACCTCCACTGGCTCCCCATCCCCCAGAGGATCGATTTCAAGATCCTCATCCTCACCTACAAGGCCATTCACGGCCTTGCTCCCTCCTACCTCTCCGACCTACTATCCCCTACCTACCTGCCCGTACCCTCCGTTCCTCTGGCTCCGGTCTGCTCCACATCCCCCGCCCCAACCGCCCTACCATCGGTGGCCGGGCCTTCAGCCTCTCAGCCCCTAGGCTCTGGAACTCCATCCCCCAGTGCCTTCGCCGCCTCCTCCCTTTCCTCCTTCAAGGCCGGTCTCAAGACCTTTCTCTTTGACCGTGCCTTCAGCTCCCCTCTCGACTCTCTACCCCCTCCTCGCTCCCTCCCTTCCCTCCCTTCACCCTGACCATTTCCCCCCTGCTTGCGTCCTGACCCAACTGTACAGCACCTTGGAACTTCCTCCCGACGTGAAAGACGCTCTATAAATGGAATCTTGTTGTTGTTGTTATTGTTGTATGTCTTAATAAGCTTTGGAGCAGGGAACAGAGTTGAGGAAACATTTCTTCACTCAGAGGGTAGTGAATTTATGGATTTCACTACCCCAGAAGGCTGTAGATGCTCAGTCCTTGAACATCTTCAAGGTTGAGATTGATAGATTTTTTAAAAATAGAGGGATTAGGGGATATGGGGATAGGGCAGGTAATTAGAGTTAGGTCTGAAGATCAGCCATGATCTTATCGAATGGCGGGGCAGGCTCGAGGGGCCGAATGGCCTACACCTGCTCCTAATTCTTATGTTCTTATGTTCTTACTATCTTGTCAATACTAATACATGCAAATCATTGGCATCTCATCAGCTCTTACCTCTCCTCGCTCCAATACATGCTAAATGAAGTTAAACTGAATTAAAACAGTTTCAAAACTAACATTATACTTGAATTACTCACACTAAGGAATGTTCAATCTAATTAATTATTTGATATAGAGTGATGGACTGAGTCAACTAAGAGGCCTCTCAGCAATCAAATAAATGGAAGTAATGTGATTAGCTGAAGTGCTTCAGTCACTCTGCCTTGCAGGATTTCCTCTTTATCTTTAAATCTAACCTGAAGATAACAACAAATCGTATTGTATAGCACCACTGACATCGGGAGGAAGTCCCAAAGTGCTGGATAGCTGAGGGTTTGTACTTGGGCTGGAGGTTGGATTTGGGAGGGACGGGGGTTGGAGAGATGATTGAACTTATTAGAATTGAGGGTGGAGGCAGAGAGTTAGAGTTGAGTGTCATCTGCATACATGTGGAAGTTAACCCCATGCCTGTGGAAGACATCACTGAGTAGGATCATGTAGATATTAAAGGGGAGCGAACCAAGGATAGAGCCCAGAGGAATGTAGCATGTGAGAATGCAGTGGCACGAGGAGAGCCCAGTTTGGCAGATGCAAAGTGGACATTAAGGATAAGTAAGAATGAAATCAAGTAAGGTAAAGTTGAGAGGAATGGCAGTGGAGAAGGATAGAATGGTTGACAGTGTTAAAAATGGCAGAGAGGTCAAGAAGGCCAAGTAAACAGAGAGAGCCCTGATCGCAGATAGAGAGAAGGTCATTGGTGACATTGACCAGGCCAAACTTGGAACCATAAGTAGTGAGGAAGCTGGTTTCCAAGGGTGTATTCAGGGAATGCAGGGAAAGGAAAGAGCAAAGATAGGAAGCAACTACTCATTCCAGTACCTTGGAGATGAAAGACATGTGAGAGATGGAATGGTAGTTAGGGAGCAGGGATGGGTTGAGGAAAGGTTTTTCAGAAGGGGAGTGCTGACAGCTGTTTTGAAGAGGGTCCCAGAGAACAAAGAGAGGTTGACAATGTCCTTTAGCAGAAGGACAAGTAGGTGAAGCTGGGAAGTCAGGAGTGGTGTGGGGATGAGTTCAAGGAAGCACATGGTGGGCTTCAATCAGGAGATGACAGAGGAGAAAGAAAAGGGAGAGACAGGGTTAAAGGTGTGGAGGGAGGGATAATTAGAGGCCAGAGGGGGAGGAGGGCAAAGGCTAGCAATAGCAATGGCAGAGGCAGCACAGCAGATCCTACTCTTCAATTATGCCTATTGTCATCCTGTCTACCTCTTCTCACTTACTCAGGTCCCACTCCGCTTCTGTACTGCACTCTTGGAGTTTATTCTGTGTAAAGAGCACTATATAAAGGCAAGTTGTTATTGGCTGTTGTTATAACCGAGGCAGCAGTTATTCCCCATTTAAAGAAGTCCAATTTGCTGTATTTCTTAGTAGGATTCCTTAATAAGGAATGTAATTAATATTCCCATTGCTTCACAGGTGTTTCACTCAGGAAATAGATCATATCAGAACAAAGTTCCTGTGGGTTGAGGTGTGCAATTTTGCTTACCAGAAGATGTCTCTGTTTGTCTAGTGTGAATTCCCGATTAAGGAATGCCATTAAGAAATAGCACAAACTAAACCCCTTTAAAGACTTGGATTCTACAAACTTTTCTGAAGAATCAAATATGGTGGCTATAACTTTTTTCAATAGGTCATTCCTTACTGCATTCTTGCAACATACTTTATTTAACATTTTAATCATCGAAATTATCTTAAATACAATTCTATAATGTATTTTCCAGTCCAATGCATTTATATTGCATTAGGGAGTAAGCTAATTCACCAATTTAGCCTTGAGCTCTAATCATTTCTCTATCCAAAATTCTAGTATACAGGATGTTGAAACATTCATTACATCCCAGGTAAACCAATTTCTACAGGCCATTTATTCAGCTTAGAATGCCCATTTTTGGTGGAATTAGAAACCACTATAATTATAGACTTAGCTCAAGGGAGAAATAAACCTGAGATACAAAAGTCTGCTTGGAACCACTATATATCATGGAATAAAGTGAAATAAAGATACTGGAAGAATCAGCTGCAAACCTTAAGTTGTCATTTTATAAGCTGGCAGAGCAAACAAAAGAAAGCAAGAAAACCACTACATGAGATGTGATAATTATCACTGGTGATAATTGTCATATCACATTCCTCATTATTTAATTATCCCTATATGTTTTAATTGGTAAAGTTAATTGTTGTAAGTTTGCATTGTTGTTCTGTTTTTGTTCTGATCATAAAGTTCCTGTCACAATCTCACCTGCTGATGCTTTCTCTTTTGGAGGTTTAGCTGTAAAATGAAATAAGAAATTGTAAGGTATTTACAAGTACTGTTCTACTATTTTTCGCCAACAAAATATACAGTCGTTTCATTTTACAGTATATTCTGTGAAGCGGTTTGAGACGTCTCGAAGACATGATAAGGCGCCATATGAAATGCAAAGATTATTATAATATCAAATTCAAGGATTATTATTATTACTAGTAACAGTCTAGAAAGTAAGTGTATTATAGGTTGTGTGGTTCTCTGTGATTGTGGTAATTATTAATATCTATTAATAAAAGTGATTGATGTCTTTGCTTCTATTGTACAACACTCTTGCAGGAGGTAATATGGAAGATTGTTAGGAAACATTCCGGGTAGTGTTTGGAAAATTCTAATGAATGATAATGCTGCGCTCTGCTATTCTATATAACATTCTATTACATATTGTACGTAAAGTATGATTATAACACACAGTTACTTGCTAAAAGTACAATCATATATTTAAGATAGAATGATGTAGGACTCGTAGTATCATTGAAATGTTCACAATACATAGCAACACCACATGTTTTGAGTATATCTTTCACCATTACTAAGGCTTCATCCTATCATAATCGATTCAAATTGAATTCAAATCTGTGATTCCTACAGGCGAGTGTTTGGTTCCTCTTTACTAACCTGTCCTGCAATAGCAACACAGCAGTTTGTGCAGAGCAAACCATTACCTTTATCAGATGTGATAGCTTTCTCTTTCTTTCCTTTTTCTGTAAAAGAAAAAAACACTTTGTTTTGATCTTCACTGCTTTACATTCAGTTTGTACTGCTGTGTAACTGGTGCTTTCTTTCCTGCCTCTATATTTTACGATCATTTATTTTATTACTTAACGTTTATATTATTTCACCTTGTTCATATCTTCTTTATTTAACACTTCACTGTTTTTCATTCTTACTTTCATCATCGTCTCCTCAACTTTGTCCATTTACAAAGAATTTCACTTGTATAGCAGCTTTCACGTCAGAAGATTGTCCCAAAGCGCTTGAAGAGAGCTGGAATTGATTAATTTACCGCTTTATAAAGAAATACTTGCTGGTGTCCGTCCTAAAATTAACCTTTACACCTCTAAAACTGTGGATTCTTGACCTGCTGCCTTGGCACAATGGAAAGTATTGATCTGAGTTTACTTTCTCTATTCCACTTAACATAACATGTAGGAGCAGGAGTAGGCCATTCGGCCCTTCGAGCCTGACCCGCCATTCAATCATGGCTGATCTTCTAATCTAACTCCAGCTAATAACCTGACCTGCCTTATCCCCATATCCCTTAATCCCATTTGCAATAAGAAATACATCTATCTCAGTCTTGAATATGCTCAAGGAATGAGCGTCAACAGCCCTTTAGGGTAGTGAGTTCCATACATTCACCACCCTTTGGGTGAAGAAGTTCTTCCTCAACTCAGTGCGAAAGGGCTGGCCTCTGATTTTAAGGTTGTGACCCCTGGTTTTAGTTTCTCCAACCAGGAGAAACAATCTCCCACTATCTACTCTATTATGCCCTTTGATGATCTTATAGGTTTCTATAAGATCCCCTCTAATTCTTCTATATTCCAGAGAATATAGGCCCAAATTGGTCAGCCTATCCTCGTAACTCATCCCCTTCATCCCTGTTATAAATCTAGTAAATCTACACTGCATACCCTCCAAGGCAAGTACATCCTTCCTTAAATAAGGAGACCAAAACTGCACACAGTATTCCAGGTGTGGTCTCACCAGGGCCCTATACAGCTGCAGCAAGACTTCCCTACTCTTATACTCTAATCCTTTCATAATGAATGCTAACATACCGTTCGCCTTCCTAATTGCTTACTGCACCTGCAGACTAACTTTCTGTGATTGGTGTACAAGGACACCCAAGTCCCTCTGAACGCTAACACATTCTAATCTCTCCCCTTCTAAAAAACAACCCGCTCTACTGTTTTTGCTACCTAGGTGGATGACTTCACACTTCCCTACATTATACTTCATCTGCCACCCACTGCCCAATAACCTAACCTATCTATGTCTGTGTTGACACTTCCTCCTAGTTTTGTGTCATCCGCGAATTTAGATATATTAACTTTGATGTCCTCATCTAGAACATTGATGTAGATGGTAAATAGCTGAGGCCCAAGGACTGATCCTTGTGGCACTCCACTAGTCACATCCCGCCAATCTGAAAAGGACCCGTTTATCCCTACTCTTTGTTTCCTACCCATTAACCATTCCCCAATCCACGTTAATATGCTCCCCCCAATTCCATGGGCCCCTATTTTTTGGACTAACCTTTTATGTGGCACCTTATTGAAATCCTTCTGGAAGTCCAAATAGATCACATCCACTGATTCACCCTTATCTAGTTTACATGAAATATCCTCAAAAAATTCTATGAGATTTGTCAAACATGACTTCCCTTTTGTAAAGCCATGTTGACTTGGCCTAATAATATTGTGCTCCCCTAAATACCGCACCACCACATCCTTAATCAATGATTCTAAAATTTTTCCTATCACTGATGTGAGACTAACTGGCCTATAGTTTCCCATCTTTTCCTTTCCACCTTTTTTAAATAGTGGTGTGACATTTGCGATCTTCCAATCCATGGGGACTGTTCCAGAATCCAAGGAATTTGGAAGATCAGACATAAGGCCTCCACTATCTCATAAGCTACCTCTTTTAAAACCCTGGGATGCAAGCCATCCAGACCAGGGGATTTGTCACTTTTTAGTGCTAACAGTTTCCCTAGCACTAATCTCTACTAATGAAAATTTCCCTAAGTTGCTCCCTGTCCTTATCCCCTTGGTGCATCTCTATCGTGGTAGACTTGATGTGTCTTCTGGGGTGAAGACAGATGCAAAGTACCCATTTAGGGATTCTGCCTTGTCCTTATCCCCCATTACAACTTCTCCCGTCTCTGACAGAAGTGGACCTACATTTACCCTCACTAGCCTATTCCTCTTAATATATTTGTAAAAACTTTTACAATCAGACTTAATGTTCCTAGCTACCTTACCCTCATACTCCTTTTTCTCGCTCTTAAGGAGCTTTTTAGTTTTTTTTTGCTGGTTTCCAAAACTCTCCCAATCTTCAGATTTACTGCTTTACTTGGCAGTTTTATAAGCCTTTTCTTTTAATTTGATGCTTAACATCTCGTATACCTTGCTAATGACCTCTCTGAAACATTTTCCTTCAAAACAAAAAAGCCTTAGCACACTCCTAATAGCTTGTCACTGTGATTACAGTTTGGGAGCTAAGGAAAAAATAGAGTTTCTTATTTAAATACTATTTTCGTCTCATTTATTCTGGCAGTTTTCTGTAAGGATCTCACCTTGTGCCTTTTCTTTTATAGGTTTAGCTGTGAACAAAAGTACAAATATAATTTTTAAACTTCATAGTCCTGGATAGAAGGTGGTTTGTAATTATTTATCATTAGCAGAAATGTAAACACTACAACATTTGTCTTGACAAAGTAACACAGTAAATCTGGCAGCACAGAGAAGTGAACACCAAAACTGGCAATTCAAAAAACAGGACTCAGGTTATGAATCCATGCTTTTCACAGACTTTCAATGGCATTTCAGGAAACCTGAAGTTCTCATGATTTTCGTCTTAAGACTATTGACATAACATTCAAAAGCATATCAATCTTTGGAAAGCACTCTTAAATTCCATTTTGATTTAGAAGTGAGGTTTCTACAGTTCCTTAACCACATTTTTTCACATTCGCTAATCTATAGACTTTCAGAGCAAAACTACTCGATCAATGGTAGTACTTAATTTGCTTCACAATTGCCTTGTCTTGTGTTGTAATTTCCAGGACTAAATCTGCTTCAACATTGATTTATGACCTTCAATTGGCACCATAAATAAGAAAGAAAAGTCTCATCACTATATTTTTTTTGTTTTATACTGAAATCTGGTGACAGAGGTGAAAAGGAGAAATCTGATGCTGTGTGTAAGGTAGCAGTACTCTGATAGAGCAACCTCAATGACTTACCTTTTTCAGCAACAGCAACTTTCATTTTTGTTTTTTTTTCCTTTTCTGTAAAAGCAAAATACTTAATATTTTACTTTCTTTTCATTTCTCCAGCCATAGCACCAAAGTATGACACATCAGAAGGCCTTTCAGCCCATATTTTCATGTTGGGATTATTTGGTCCTCCAAGAAGCCAACCATCCCAACCCCAAAATGGAATAGAATTCATTTATTTTGTCAGCTGGGTGTTTGACACATTCAGAAACCCATCACCATGCTTAAGAGTATCTAAAGCAGACTGAGAGTTCCATGCATCTCACCTACACATGGAAATTCCCATGTTAGCAATGGAATGCACATTTGCTCTCTGGAGGGACACATCCTGCTTACCTAATTCCAAACAGCATTAGGCACAGATTGACAAGAGTCAAGGCTTGGGGACCCCAGAGTGTGCGTTAGGAAATAGTTGGTGTGCAACCAGTGTAGTAACTGTATATTTGTAGGAAATAATTTTAGAGGAATTATTCATTCTGTTTTGCAGAGGTGCATCTCACGACTTAATGCATCCAACTACACTTTACCTTGCTCAGCAGCAGATAATAATAATAATAATCCTTGCATTTGATATAGCGCTTTTCACGTCTTCTAGACGTCCCAAAGCGCTTTACAGAATATACTGTAAAGTGAATTGACTGTATATTTGTGGGCGAACGCGGCAGCCATTTGTCCCACAAACAGTCATGGATTGAAAATGACCAATTTATTATTGTTTTATTTTTTGGAGGGATTATTATTAGGCATGTGGAGTAAGGAAAATTGCCCAAGGTTTCGCCCTGCCTGGAAGTGAACTCAGGCATCTCACTTGCAAAGCGAGTGCTCTAACCACTGAGCTACAGGACTCCACAATAATAAGATGACTTCTTTGCTTTCTCTGTAAAGTGAAAATATTCCTCAATTACTTTTTGTGCTTTACTCTTGTATAAAGTACAGCTCTAATAAGAATAACCCCAGTTTAACGACAAAGATCCCAATGTTAAGCAGATGTTAGTTTAGTCTATCATATTCAGCAGCTTAATCACATTGAAGTAAGACATTCAAAATACAGTGTGCTTAACAGAAATGTCAAGAATTTTATTTGTAACTAAGTTCCGATGTGAAGTTTCTAACGGTTGAAAACTTAACAATGTTTTTACATTTAATAGTTTGAAAATCGAATGTTTGGCTAAAAGGGTTAGGACAATACTGTGCTGTCTGGATATATAATGTACCAGCTTGGTTCAGTTGATAGAGCTCTTGCCTCTGAGTCAGAACATTGTGGGTCCAAAGCCCAAATTGGGACTTGGATCTCATATTGTCGTCCTTCAGGTGAGACATTAAACCGAGGCCCCATTTACCAGTTCAGGTGTATGTTAAACATTCCATAGCATTATTCAAAGAGAGGAGTTTCTCCCAGTGTCTTGGTCAACAATCACTGAACTAAAATTGATCATTCACTTCATGGCTGATTGTGGGACATTGCTGTGTGCAAAATTAGCTGCCACTTTTGCCTACAAAATACACAGTCACTTCACTTTACAGTATATGCTGTGAAGCACTTTGGGACGTTCACCTAACGTGAAAGGTGCTTTGCCAAATGTAAGTGTTATTATTATTATTATTTTCAAAGTGCAACATATTAAGTCACAAAGTTTTGAATAAGTAGTAAACAGCAAAGAATAAGTAAATAGAAAAAAAATTCAAAAACAGAAAGAAAAAATGGAATAGCACAAAATAGAAATAAAAGCAGCAAAAGAGTGAACAAAAGAACAAATAAGTGCATATTAAAAATATTTTATTTTTACATTATGGGGAAAATTTGATGGAAAAATCCAATTTTATGCACCATCCACTAGTTACATTCCTAATGGAGGAAATTTATTCTATGTTTTGTGCATTCATTGAGTGATCCAGAATTAATATTGCAGTAATAAAACTCTCCTAATGCTTGACTAGCCTTAATACTGTAATAATATTGGTCATAGCATCACAGCTTGTGAGATATAAATGTAAAGAATCCTGTCAGCAGTATCCAAGCTAAGTAATCATTGACAAAGTATATATTCTCACAACGTAATACTGAATTTTCCCAGGAGCAAATTAAACCAATTAATAATTTTGGTTTTACTTCAATAGTAAATGTTAATGTTCAGTACCTGGTACAACAAGGACTTGTTTCTTTGGTATGGCTGCAGATTCTATGGGAATCCAAAAGTAGACACACTGTTATTCAACACTTCTATGAAAAATTCCAATACCCTATTTAAAACAACAGCAATGGAAAATTGTGAAACTAAAGTTAAACTATAACTCAATCATGAACATACCAAGCTTATTTATTAAAATATCCTTTACAATCATAGAATGCATTGAATTACTATGTGGTGATCACTTTCTTTGCAAGCTTATCATCATATTATAAGCTTATCATCACTCCACCTTACCAACACTTATCAACACTCCACCTTTCTAAGACAGTCCAGAACCTTGATATCTTGTTTGACCCTCAACTATCCTTTCTACCCCACATCCATGCCATGACCCACTCTGCCTTCCCCCACCTCTGCAACGTCACCAGGCTCCGCCACTGTCTCACACCTCAGGCCGCCGAAACCCTCATAGACACTTTCATAACATCGAGGCTTGACTATGCAAACTCCTTGCTTGTCGGCCTCCCCAACTCCTCCCTCCATAGGCTGCAGATCATCCAGAACTCTGCAGCCTGTGTCCTCTCCCACACTAGGCTCCGCGATCCTATCACCCCCATCCTTGCCCGATTCCACTGGCTTTCCATCACTCAGGGGATACAGTTCAAGATCCTGGTCCTCACCTTCAAAGCCTTCCATGGCCTTGCTCCCTCCTAACTCTGCGACCTCTTAACCCCCTACCATCCTGTCCACTCCCTCTGCTCAGCGAGCTCCAGCCTGCTTCACATTCTCCGGCTCGCACGCCCCACCATTGGCGGGCGAGCGTTCTGCCACTCTGCCCCCATCCTCTGGAACGCCATCTCGCAGTCCCTCCACCTCGTCCCCTCTCTTGCTTCCTTTAAGACCCATCTCAAGACCCTCCTCTTCAACTGTGTTTTCAATCACCCAGCTTCCCCCCTGCCTCCCACCCTCCCCAATCCCAACCCCCAGCTTGGGTCCGAAACACTGACTGTCCAGCACCTTGGTACGTCCTCCCGACGTGAAAGGCACTATCCAAATGTTATTGTTGTTGTAATACTCTTTTCCTGGCATCAGCTTAAAGATTTGGTTATAGTCATTAATGACATTCAAATCTTGCTCAGGCAAGCCTTTCTTCATTGATGTGCCTTCAATGTGAGATGCAGTATATGGATTTACAATCGAGAAGCACTCTCATTGTGAGCTTTTAGAAGATTGAAATGTTGCTCAGAAGTAAAAACAAGTCCCACATTGGACAGAGGAAGGCAAATGGTTCATATCCCAGAACGGCACTCCTGCACATTCCAATGGTCAGTTCAAGAATGACACTGTCAGAGTCATAGGAATAAACTACCAGACAATTGAATGGAGACTGACATGAAAGGAGCATGAAGTAGAGAGAGAATTAGTACAGAATACAGAGACAAAATAACATCAAGTGAATCCCCAATCAGAAGCATTGCTTTCCCCATAACAATACAACTTACAACGATCAGTGTTGAACTTGAATCGGGTTCTCTCCATTGTGCCATGTGTCACAGAGGGCAGAGGGGCCAAGCGTTCCACTGACTGAATCAGATCCTTTCAAAACTTTATCGTCCATGGGGCCCGTGTTTGAATGTATTACATTGTTTTCGTAATTATTTTTCATTTAAAATATGTAATCATTGACTGGTGGTCTTTTGTTTGTAGAGGTCATTTGCAGTCAGGATGTTAAGTTTAATGTACAGGAGTGGTTTTATGTACATGTGCAGTAGTAATGCTGCTATTTTATAGAATCAAGTGTTCAATATCAAGCAATTCAGTTGTAAGACTTGATCTTTCTAGGAGTCCAGGTTTTGTAGTCATGTTTTAATTTATAGAGGAAAGGGAATAGCTGTGTGGGAGAGATGTTGTTTATCTGATTGCTAAAAGTTACGGATTATACATTCATATCTAGGGAGATCACTGCATTAGTTTGTTGTTGGAATAAGGCTTCCCGTTGGTAAATAGGTATCGATTAGGGCTCAAAAGTTCTCCCCAATACATACTTCAGTTTGAACAGAAAAGTCAACAATTACCCTTGTTATTCTAATTTGCAGGTTTTCCATTTATTATATATTAACAACATAACTAGAATATCTTAAGTCCATACAATCAGAATGTATAGATTTGTATGGGTGGCTAGCCAGCTGTGTAAAGCATTTTGAGATGTCTTCCTGACTTAGAAGGTGATATATAAATAATAATTATACTGTACCTCAGTAGTAGCCTTCAGGAGTTGACAGTCTTTTGACTGATGCAGCAGTGGAATAGGTCTTGGGCTCTAAAAATGTTCTGATTATTTGCCTTCTGAAGAACTCCTTACACTGAGGATTTGAGTCCCAGGGAGCTATTATTTTGCATAACATACACTATTTATATTTTGTGGTTAGAAATGCCAATTTATTGCTTTTGGGAGAGTTCTAGTGTCAGTGCTATGATTTGATGAAATATATTAGCTTCCTTTGAAATATCATTATTAGCAATATAACAAGGTAATTACAGGGTAATTCTGCATGTACTGAGGTTGCAAAATTTTCCGACTCTTTGTGTTAAATCCTGCCTCTTACATTGTTAAACAATTCTCCTGGACAATATTTTAGCAGCATAACTCTCAAATATATCACAAACTTGTAATATACTTCATTTTAAATTCATGCAAATAACCACATTATAACTGCATGAGATCGGTCTCCTCTACTACATTTTATTATTCAGCTATTTGTAAGTTAGATTTATTAATGCTTCGGCAAGCACTTGAGTTATAAGAAAATTGCATAAAAGCAATAAAGTTTACATACTTTTTGCTGGTTTTATTTCTGCAGGCTTAACTGTAACAGAATGATGAATAGAAAATTGTAAGTACATTTTTTAAAGTTTATTTTAGGGAACTGTTGCAAATCCCTAGAGCATTTTGCATAAAGTATAAAGCAGAGGGAGAAATAGTACATTAAGTACCTACATTTAATGTTCAATATAAAATGCCTGTACAACCAGGTAAAAACCAACTCTACATAAACAGAATGAACATGTTGGATCCATTCACATCCTCAAGTCTGAGGTGGATGGCTGTTTGATACGTCAGGGTATTAAGAGATACGGGACAAGGGCGGGTAATTGGACTTGAGGTACAGATCAGCCATGATCTTATAGAATAGCTGAACAAGCTTGAGGGGCTGAATGGCCTACTCCTGTTTCAATGTTTCTATGTCACCTTGGGTTTATGGATCCAAAGTAAAATGTTTTTTTAGACTCTTTCAATATGATTCAAGTGGATCACACAACCACAGTATAAAACTGTCCTCAAAATCAGCAAAACTAACAGTAATCCAGCAAATCACTCTACAAGGAGAGGTTGCATAAGAAATAGGAATGCTGCTGCCTGGAAAATAACAAGCACTCTTCTGAGGTTAGGATTTATGTTTAAAAAAAGCATTGTGCAGGGTGATGGTTTAAACATATCTTGCATCATATTCAACCAATTGTGTTTGCTCTCTACAAAGATACAGTGGGAAGCTTTTTGAAGCCAGTATTCTTTGTTCAAGCTTGAATTCCACAAACACTATTGTTACATGTGTTAAACTTGAACTATATCCTGGAGCATTGCTACAAGAGTACAGCTACCATGTAGTCTCAGAGTATATGGTATATACCCCGTATCCACCCCCATAGAGTCCCAGAGATACCACAACAGCACACCCACCTCATGGCCGCAGATATACAACAACAGCACCCTCATCTCACAGAGTCCCAGATACAGAACAACAGCTCCCCACCTCATAGTCCTAGAGATACCACAACACATCCACCTCACGTACATCCAGAGAGATACTACAACAGTTAATAGCTGTTAATAGCAGCTATTAGTAGTAAAGACTGTTGATATCAGATACAGTGGTAGGTGTTCATAGATCCAGTAATAAAATACTGTAAATCTCAATGAACAGTACTGTTCTCTACTCAAATACTGTACAGTAATCTTCTCAATGTACTTTGCAGATAATGTCCACAATAAATTCCCCAAATACCTCTGGGAGAATATTTTATTTTAATAAACTTGCAAAACTTATATATTTACTAGATCTCCTTCAGTAAATAATGGTAGTTATAGAGGAATAGCAGTTCTAAATTGTGTTCTGAGTACTCTGACCAGTAGATGGCATAATTGTGTTCTAATTCCAGAAACTACAGTACAAAATACTGCAACTCGACAAGACTATGGATTGGATAAAACTTACTTGACACTCTGGAAGCTGCGGGTTTAGCTGCAGGGTATCCAGCTGGTTCTATAAAAGAAAAACATGGTATGCTTAAAGGATCCCAAAATAAATAAAATATCCATGGACAGTCTGGTTGCACTCTCACTGTCAAAGACTGTCTTTTTAAGAAAATATTGTCCAAATTCAGAATCTTAGAATTAGAGCTAGGATGGTTAGAAATGAGATCTGAAAGCATTTCTTTTTACAGAATGTTGTTAAATATGGAACCCATTGCCACATTGCAACAGAAATTACCTTCTCTTTTCAAATAGGCTCAAAGAATTTTTAACATTCACTTGATAAGGTAGACAAGGCCTTGGTTTAGTGTATGAAGAATGGCTCCTCCAACATTGCAGCAACCACAACATTGCATTGGTGTGTCAGCCTAGTCTGTGAGCTCTAAGTTCCAAAATCACAAGGTAATGATCCAGAGACGAGAGTGCTACCAATTGATCCAGACTGACACCAAATCCAAAGGTGAGAGAATTACTGATTCTTAATGAAGTGCCATTGCTGCGCCAAGGTAAGTGCCTCATTAGAAATCCTCCATCCTTTAAGTTGCAAATGTTGGCAGCAGTGTGAACAAGAAGGGAAACAATGTAATCCAGAGGGCATCCCAATTCCAGTGCATTTTAAACAAGGATTTTAATGCAATGTTAAGGTAAATAATCAACATAAACATAATTTTGAATCGCATTATTATAATATTATATAGCAATAAGATCGTAAAACATCTTTATTTCAATGTTCCTTTAAGGAGCAATCAACCAGACGACACCATCGTCTAGCAGATGTTGTACCATTCACACGTGTGTCAACACACACAATGCTGACATTTCTTGGCTTGTTCTGCATTCCACATTGTTCCAGCTCAATAATGTTAGTGTTGTAGATTCTTAAGGAGGAGTTACAATTCACAAGCTATTTTTCATAAATTCCACATAATATTTAGAACATTCAGAGGGTGGTTCTTTGTAGGTATCTGATCTCTAAAGGATAGAGGGATTTAGGGATATGGCTCGAGGGGCCGAATGGCCTTCTCCTGCTCCGACGTCTTATGGTCTTATGATCTTGCGGTCATGCAATTATAATAGAATTTAAGGTTGGTAAATTTAAAAGCAAGCGTAAAATAATTATACTTGCATTTGATATAGTGCCTTTCACATTGGAAAGATATATCAAAGTTTTCACTTCACAAGGTTTTACTGTAAAGTGTAGTGAATGTGAATGTAGGCATAAACAATAACTGAATTGTGCCCAGCAAAGTCCCACAAACAATCATGAGGTGATTTTATCAGGGGACCAGTACACCGAAGGAACTTCAAAATAATAATAATAATTATCCTTGCACTTGTTATAGCACCTTGTCACATTGTGGGGATGTCTCAAAGCACTTCACAGAATATACTGTAAATTGAATTGATTGTATGTTGCGGGTGCACACTGTTAAACTTCTCCATAATCTTAAACTTTAAAACATAAGATTCTGAAGCTAAGACTTTGAGAAATGTCGGGACACAGGTGCCAATTTTAGTGTAATCAGCTGTATTCTGTCAGGAAACTGTTAACAGAAAATTCTCTTCTGTTACATCCATTCTTCAGTTTTTTTGCTTGCACTGTAGTTCAGAAGATAATCATCACTCAAAAGCTATTTCCACAACTAATGCTATATTATTCCATCAAATCCAGAAGCACCTGTTACCCTTTCCACTTCTTGTTGAAATCCCTGAACAATTACACAAGGTCTAAAGAGATGCTAAAAGTTGACTTGAACTCCTGAACTGAACTCCCTGTGTAATTCTAGAACATCACTGAGGAGATATACAAATTAATTCTTATATAGCTTTGACTAACAATTAAGTCAGAGGTATTAAAAAAAATCTGTGCTGAGCTTTTTGCCGATTCAGTCAGAAATTTAAATTTTAGAACATAAGAACATAAGAACTTGTTAGGCGAAAGAAGACCATGATCCATCCAGTTCGCCTTCCACTATACTGGCAGTCGTGTGACATGTTGTGTCCCAAACTACATTTTGTATCTTGAGATATTATTTTCTAACAGAGATCAATCTAATTTGTTCTTGAAACAAACAACACATCTACCGTCTCCCTAGGGAGCCTGTTCAATACATTTATTACTCGCTCACTGAAGTAATGATTCCACAGATTTGTTCTGAATTTAACCCCATTCAATCGCAGGCTGTGTCTTGGCTGCTAAGATGTTTTGGGATTGGTGCTCTTTTCAACATTAGAGGGTGCAATGTTTCATAACATGATTGCCTTATAAATTTCATCCTTGTATTGTATAATCAGGTTGTGTTGCAATAAAGTTCAAAAGGCATGTGTTTCTTGTGTACCCATGAACTTTCATGCACCCTCCTCTATTTCTCTAATCTCTTACGGAGGACAAATCCACTACAAGAAAAAACATCCAAGAATATAAAACTCCCCAAATTTCTTACCGATTATCCTACTGGAAATCAGGATTTCAATCTGATTTCATGAGCTTCTGACCAGTAATATTCCACTGATAGAATTTTCACAGTCAGAACAGGGTATGAACCATTGTATTCCACCATATTTGAATCTTCAATATCCTTAGTTGTCCTTTCAAATTATGCTTCCATTCTTATTCAGATAGTTATCCTTTGAAAGGTTTAACCAGCATTGTATAGAATAGTATAATAATGATTGTTACATTTGATATGCTGCCTTGTCGGCAGTATTTGATATACTGCCATCTCGTGCGGCTTTCCTCAGGGGTCTGTGCTTGGTCCCTTCCTCTTCAATATCTATATGCTCCCTCTTAGTCATCATCATCCGCAGACATGGGGTCAACTTCCACATGTATGCAGATGACACCCAACTCTACTTCTCTGCCTCCACCCTTGACACCAGGACCACCAGGGCCTCTGTTAGGCATCAAGTCCTGGATGAGAGCTAACTTTCTTCAGTTGAACGTCAACAAGACCAAGGCTCTTCTGATTGGCTCCCCTCAGTGCCTCCACACCTCAAGCACTGACAGCATCAGCATCCATGGTTGCACACTCCACCTCACTAAGCCAGTCTGGAACCTTGGCATCTTGTTTGACCCTCAACCATCCTTTCTACCCCACATCCAACCATGACCCACTCTGCATTCCCCCACCTCCTCAACATAGCTCGGCTTCACTACTGTCTCACACCACAGGCTGCAGAAACCCTCATACACGCATTCATTACATCAAGGCTTGCCTATGCAAACTCATTGCTTGTCGGCTCCCCAACTCCTCCATCCATAGGCTACAGGCCATCCAGAACTCTGCAGCCCGTGTCCTCTCCCCCACCAGGCTCTGTGACCCTATTACCCCCATCCTCGCCCGACTCCACTGGCTTCCCATCACTCAGAGGATACAGTCAAGATCCTGGTCCTCACCTTCAAAGCCTTCCATTGTCTTACTCCCCCCTACCTCTGCGACCTCCTAAGCCTCTACTATCCTGCCTGCTCCCTCCGCTCAGCGGGCTCCAGCCTGCTTCATGTCCCCCACCTTTAGCGGGCAGACTTTCTGCAACTCTGCCCCCACCCTTTGCAACTCCATCCCGAAGTCCCTCCGCCTCGACCCCTCCCTTGCCTCCTTCAAGACCCATCTCAAGACCCTCCTCTTCGACCATTGTTACGATCGCCCTGCTTCCCCCCCTGCACTCCACCCTCCCCAATCCAGACCCCCAGCTCGGATCTGAAACACTGACTGTCCAGCGCCTTGAGACTGTATTTGTAACTTTGAGACTTGTCAGCTACTGGACTTTTGTCATCCATAGAATAAAACAAATATTGACTGTTACCTTTGTCTATCCTTCATTGCTGCATTAGAGAGCTAGAAATTCCACCTGAGTCCAGATTTACTCTATTACTGTAGTATTTAAAAGTGTCCAAATTATGTCAGAATCTTAATTAACCTTTAATTTTGAAGCCTGTTTTCCATAAATTCTTATAAAAACTACAGAAAACTGGCTTCAAAGTTAAGAATTAATTGACCATTAAGAGATTAAGTCCAGACCCATGTAGACTTTTCCCCCAAATATTTTTTACAATTGATCAGAACATCTAAGAAAAATAAATTCCTTTTTCTGAATTCTTCATCTCCAGGAGGTTTCCTATGAAAGCAGTTGGGGACTGGCAATCATCGCTGTCCTGAAGCTTTGGTTTAACAGCAGCAAAGAGGCAACAAGATTGTTATAAAATTAAACCGTTTAAACTGTTTAAAGTTAGGAGTCTCTTTACGCAATGTAACGCGAATGAATCAATGGAATGGATTTGGTTTTAAATTTTTAAATTTGTTTTTGTTTTTAAATTCCAATGGCAACAGAAGATGAGACATGAATTGGAAATGCAAATTTTCCATTGGAAATGCAAATTTTCCATTGGAAATGCAAATTTTCCATCTTCAACATCGCAATACAGTATTTCTTTTATTAAAGTGTTATATTAACATAATGGCTTGATGCTTCCTTATGCAACAATTTAACCAAGGGTGCATCTCTACTTCGAAACATCTGTCTGTTAATTACTCTTTAGGGACATTGAAAAACTTCTCAGCACCTCTCTGTGAAAGACATTATCCAAACACTTATACCTAGTCTCATAAGAGGAACTATGTAACACATTTAAATGGGTATTAATGATCTAGAAATTTATAATTTAAAAGCTATTTTATTGCTCTTTTCAATGACCACTGCTATCTTTACTGATGCAAAAGCTTTGTGTCTGCTCCCTGAGCTTTCACTGAATGCCTCCAAAGGGGTTTAGCTGAAATGATCTGTGACCCAAAACGACAATGAATCAGGACGAGGTGTGAAATCACTGCAGACAATTTAGTAATTCATTTATCATTAAGAATTTGAAAAAAAATGATTCAAGTACATGCCTGAGGTAAAGAAGCAGGTAGCTGGGTAATAGACTCATTACATGTTAGGGTCTGCAAAACGTTCAAACCAGTCAGTGCATTAAGCCTCTAGCGAGTTTCTAATGAAAGGCTTGATGTCACTGTT